CCCCTCTTCAGCATGATTCCTTGGTCATCTCCTGGCATGCGAGCCTTTCTTTCTTTCTTTCATACATTCCTATTCTAACGCTCCTAGCATTGGGTACTGGCTGCTTGTTTGCAGGTCTCCTGTCTTGCCACCTCCTTATTGGTCGGTGATCCATCTTGTTTGCTTTTTCTGCCCCACCCTAGTAGGGTACCTGGCAAGGTGAAGCCTCTCAGTTAAAGTTTTTAAGTTGAACTGGGAAGCCTTTGGGTGGCCTTGCCTGTTCCCCTGCCCCAAGGACACTCAAGTCTTCTCAGAGCAGGTGTGTCTCTGCAGTCAGGAGCAGCTGGAACAGGGCCGGGGCACAGGCAGTGCACAGTGAAAGTGGCTGGCCTCTCCTCTCCCTCCTAGTGCACGGGGGCCAGGTGAACGGTGCCCAGGAAAGAAGCAATTGGCAGCATATCCTCTGAGCTTCAATGCAGTTCTAACCAGAGCACCAGCTCCCAGGGGACCTTTTATCTTCCCAGTGGCCTGCCTGCCTGGCCATTAGAGAGCAGCCCCTGGGCAGGCTGGCCCTGCGGGGGCCCCTCTCCCCCAGTGGCCCATTCTCATCCCAGTCCTAAATCAGTGTCTCCCCCCAAATCCTCTCACATGCTCTTGTGTGCTCCACAGGTAATACTCTGTTAAATACAAAGATGGAAATACATCAAACCAGTGGCTCTACTTGTAGGGAACACACCCCAAATGCATTTTAACTCTGCGGATCCTCCTCAAGGGAATTCCAGTTGAAAAAGAACTTGGGTCAGCAGCCTCCGGCCTGTGTGCCAACAATCTTCCCTTTTCTCTGTTGTCTGTCTGGTCTGAAGGGCTCCTTTGTTCTGGGCTGGGAGGGTGTGATGTCCTAATTAGGCCTGGTGTGGGATCTCTGCTCAGTCATGCTGCCCTTCAGAAAAAGTGCTCCAGGCAGGAGGCTAAGTTCGCAGTGATTTTGTGAGTTTGTTGGTCTTGAAAGAAAAGAGATTTACAAGGTGGGAAACTAAATGTAGTGTGCCATCCGGATTGGTTCCTGGACAAAAAAGGGCATTAGTAGGAAAACTGGAACATTCCTAATCCAGTCTGGAGTTTAGTGAACAGTACTGTGCTAATGTTCATTTTTTATTTGGACAAATGAACATATGTAAGACATTGACATTAACAGAAACTGGGAGAAGAGCATATGGGGACCTTTTATATAATCTTTGCAACTTCCTAGTAACTCTAAAATTACTCCAATATTAAAAGTTTATTTATAAAGAACAAGGTAAAAAGGCTAACCCAGCAGCTAATTGAACCTGACCCTTCATCAGGGCTGTCCTTTACACTCTTGCCCCAGGGTTTTAGCCTTCACCTGCAAAATCAGGAAGGTAGGCTGCATCTGGGAACCCTTTCCCAATCTGCTCTTGAGGCAAGGGCAGTCTTTGCCGCACCTCCCACCCTCCGTTTGGGGTCCAAGGCCAAGTCTACCAGGAAAACCTGGGTCATGTGGTTGGCAGTGTTGCTACTCACCAGCTGTACACTGTCAGTCAACAATCTGGGCTTTGTTTTCTTCACCTATTAGGAGGCAGATAACCAGTCTGGAGGGGGAGAGAGGTTGACATAGGATAATACATGTGAAGGACTCGGCCCAGACCCAATATTAGGCTCGACAAATTGGTTTTGATTCTCTCCCTTCTGAGAGAGAGAGAGAGAGAGAGAGAGAGAGAGAGAGAGGAGAAAATGAGTACTATTTTCTTGAAGACTTAAGATCAGTGGGGTCAGTGGTAGCTTGGAGGTCATGGACGCTGCCAGTGGGGAGCCAGTAGCAGCACTGTGCCCCTTTGCCCCCACATTTCTAGAGATCTGGGAAATGTGATACTTATTTTGAGTAACTCATGAGGAATCTCCTTTACCAGAGAGGCCTCTGAGGCCTCTTGGAGTTTTAATATTTGAATTTCAGGGAATTGTGCCGTGACTGTTTCTTCACCTTGAGGGTGGGCCAGGTTGTTTGGGGGCTTCCTTCTGGAATGGGAGCCCCTGGTGTTTCTTCTGGGCATGTAGCGCTCCTAGCTCAGAACGCCAGAAATCAGAAAGGCTGGAGATATTTGCAAGATCCAAGGACACTGAATCTGCTGGGCATGGTTTGTGGATGGCCACTTACCTGTAGGTGGCAGTGGAGACATGGTCATTGCAGGGTACTAGGGGAGTGCAGGCAGAATCCCTTTGAGAAGAGCGGTTGTCGTAAAAGTAATCATGATGACCACTGACCACAGTGTGGAGGACTGTTACTCTGTGTCTGGGGCTTTGTCAAATGCTCTGTGTGTGTTATGTAGTTTACTCTCAGAACAACTCTGTGGGGAAAGTGCTATAATAAGCACATTTTACAGATGGCAGAAAGCTAAGAAAGGTCAAGTTACTGCCCTAGGGTTACACAATAATTGGCAGAACTAAGACTCACCACAGTCTGAGTTCAAACCCTCTGCTCACACTCTCTACTATTGATGCCATTTCTCCTGCTCCTGAGTCCAAAGGGGAATGCAGGGATGGCTGAGAGCCTACCTCTGATCTCCCCACACAGTCCAGTGCCTGTCATCCCAGGGCCTCACTTGTCATTTCATTTATAAAGGACTCTTGTCACCATAAGTTTGGGCCCTCGTGAGGAGATGAAGACATCCTGCCTTCATGAAGCTTCAGGTTTAGATACGGAATCTACTCGTGTCTTGCTAAGTCAGTGAGTTTGGAGGAACCTCTTAGAACGGCATTAGCACAATGTAGAAAGCCTATTTCTCACATGGCTGATGCTTCCAGGTGTGGGAGCCTGTCAGGAGATCTCTTGGGGAAGCATTGAGGAGGCTCTGGAGAAGAGAGAGGGTTGGAGCTGAGCATGGGCAGGCAGGCTGCAGTGTAGGCTTTCCGACCACAGAGTTTTGAGATGGTTTACTCAGGGCCAGAAGCCCTTGGCTTACAGAGTTTTTCAGACACTGATATGCTTGCTTCTTTCATCCTTCAGCAAATAATGTGCTTTTCTGTGGAATGAGGACTCAGGTGGGCCTTCCCTTCAGCTTTGCCTACTTTCCCAGAGGGTGGTCAGATTGTGTAAAAGTGTACATAAGCCCAGGGAAGCCTACTTTCCTCACTTCCATTTGGGACAGGATTGAAAGTCCTAGCGAGAGCAATTAAGGAGGAAAAAGAAATAAAAAGCATCCCAATGAGAAAGGAAGAAGTAAAATTATCTCTGTAGGTGACATGACCATTTCATGGAAAAAAAAAAAAAACACAACCTGTTAGAACTAATAAATCCAGCAAAGTTGCAAGAATACAAAATCAGCTGTTTCTATACATTAACAATGAACAATCCAAAAAGGAAATTAAGAAAACAATTTCATTTATAATAGCATCTAAAAGAATAAAATCCCTAGGAATTAATCAAGAAGGCAAAGGCTTATATGTGGTGAAGCTACAACACGCTGCTGAAAGAAATTAAAGAAGACATAAATAGGTGGAAAGACAGCTCATGTTCATGGATTAGAAGACTTAATATGTTTAAAGTGATACTACTACCCAAAGTGATTTATAGACCCAATGTAATCCCAGTCAAAATCCCAACATTTTTTGCAGAAATTTTAAAAAAAAAGCCATCCTAAAATTCATATGGAAACTCAAGAGAGTCCAAATAGCCAAAACAACCTTGAAAAAAAGGACAAAGCTGGAGGACTCATAGTTCCTGATTTCAAAACTTAGCCCTGGCCAGGTAGCTCAGCTGGTTAGAGCATTGTCCTGATATGCCAAGGTTGCAGGTTCCATATCTGGTCAGGGCACATAAAGAGTCAACCAATGAACGTGTAAATAAGTGCAGCAACAAATTGATCTCTCTCTCTCAAATCAATAAAAAGTTCAAAACTTAAAATAATTACAACACTGTGGTGCTGGCACAAGGATAAACATATCAACCAGTGGAGCAGAATAAAGACCTTGGAAATAAACCCTCCCATATATAATCAGTTGATTTTCCACAAGGGTTCTAAAACCATTCCAGAGAGAAAGGACAGCCTTTTCAACAAATGGTGTTTTTCAACAAAAGCTGGGTATTCACATGCAAAAGAATGAAGTTGGACCCTTACCTTAAAATGGTAAATTTTTTGTCATGTATATTTTACCACAAAACTACCCACAAGAAGAAAAGTATACATAGGCCAACATCCTATCAGAGTGTAGTGGGGGAGCTGGAGGGGATGGGTGAGGATCAGAGATCATTTGGGCTGTTACTTTACCTCTCAGCCCTGGGTTTGGCAGGAAACCTAGGGCCCAGAGAGTAAAAGGGACTGAATAGCCCAAGAGCTTGGGATCATCATTGGCAAAGTCAGAACTGGAACTAGGATCACTTGCTCCTCCTCTGACCCCCTCTGGGCTGTGAGACCCTGGAGGGCTGGAGCAAGATCTGTCTTACCCTCCCCTGTGTCCCCAGCACTCAGCACTGGGCAGTTCTGCAGTCCATTTGCATTGGCTGGATGACTCTTGGCCTTCTTTGCCCTGAGGTAGGGTTCTCATCCCAGCTGCACATCGAACCATGTGGGGAGCTCTTAGAGCACATCAGTACCTGGGCCTTGGACCTCACAGGTACTGATTGAAAGGCGTGGGGTGGATGCAGGCAAGAATATCTTTTAAAGGCTTCCTGGGGATTGTAATCTACAGCCAAGTTTGGGAACCAAACTTGCTCTATATCTTGCTTTCCCTGGTGCTCTCTCTAGCTGGGAGTGAGGGACAGAAGCTTAGTAGACCCCTCTTGACCTTCACACAGTCTCTGGCTGGTTTATTCTGTCTTCTCTTGTCCTGTGTGCTCTGCCTAAAGAGGTGTGTCACAGTGTGTGTGGTGGAGTTGTCATTAGTTCCTTCTCAGCTCCGTGGCACGAGGGCACAGCTGTCAAAGCCACCCAGAGTGCCACGGTTGTCCTCTGCTCCAGGCTGACCTGCCGCATGACTGATGCCTCCCCGCCTCTCCCTCTCTGCAGCTCTGAGGACAGTCCATGGCACATCTCAGGTCCTGCGACCTTGAGTAAATGGCACGGGGACCATGGAGTTTTCCTTTTGCCTTAAAGTTCCAGAGAAAACTGCCTCGCAGTGGTCTGCAGGTTGGTAAATGGCAGTTTGTTTACCTCCTTCTGGCCTTGTTTTCTTCCTTCTTGTAGGGGCATTGGAGGAGTGGGGACATCTGCCTATATAAGAAAGGACAGCCTGCAAAGTTAGGGATGCGTATTTGGAATTCATTCTCTTGACTCCCCAGTGGAATGGAAGTGGGGTCTGCAATTAACATTCATGAAGTATGTCAGGAATCTGAAGCAGTAGACAGTAATGGTTTTTTGGTAGGATGTCAAGGTTGATTTTTCTACCTGACTGGCAGTTGCCAGCCTGCCTGACTAGCATACAGTAATCCAGAAGGTTCATCTCATATTATTAGCACATGATTCAAGCTGAGCTTCCTGCTCATCCAAACCCCTTCTTTCCTTTCTCTGCACCTGGCACAAAGAACCCCGAGTGCTGTTCCTTTGTGCTGCTATCTCTGGGCTCCTACCCTCACCCTAGATGGCCAGAGAAGTAGATAATTTGGCTGATTTTTCTCTATTCCCACCAAAAGGATGTTGCTAAATGCAAAATGCTAAAACCAGCTCTCTTTTACCTTCTGGTGCTGGCTGCTTCTGAAGTCACTATATTTAACATCAAAGTATAGAAAGCAGCAGCCAAGAAACCAAGTTCCTGGACTGTGAGGCTCCTCCCCTCAGGACTGCTGTGGACCTCAGACTGCATGGGGGTGGGGGTGGGGTAGCAGGGAAGCTGAACCCCGGAAGCACTGACAATTGCACTGCTGAGGCTTCAGGGCATCCCTGGCCTCTGGCCTGCACCAGGTGGGAGGCAGTGTTTTCTGAGTAGAGAAAATGTCATGGCAACAGAATCAGGATGACATACTCTTCTGCTCTGAATGTTTAATGGGAGTTGTGTGTCTCCCTGCCAAGCCCTGCTCTACCCTACCCTGCCTGGCTCTGCCCAGCCCTGCCCAGCTCCTGGCTGTCAGCATATCACTAAGACCTCTGAGAGATGACTACTTTGCAACCAGGGTCATTGGTGTTTTGATCTTCATCCCACCTGATGGCTGGCTGGTAGGAATGATTTGCCTCCTTGCTTCCCAGAACATTGTGTTTCTGCTGTTGCAGCAGGATTCATTTCAGGTTTTGACAATTCATGTGACCAAAGAAATGAGATTGAACTTTGCTTCCTCTGGCCTGGGGCGGGATGGAGTGGGGGAGCCCACACTGAGTGGCTGCAGTTTCAGAGGCAATCAAACACAGCTTTGCTCCCATGGTGGCTGGGGGTGCTTGTGTGAGGAGAGAAGAGTAAGAGGTGCTGTGAGGGCCTGCATCAGCACTGCTCTCCACCGGCTGTTTTAGCAGAGCCAGGTGCTCCCAGCTGGGTCTGTGTGGCGTCTCAAGCAAAACGAAAAGAAAGAAGCATTCTTTTGGGGTTGGTTCTTCATAATCAAAACAAGTTTATATCTTGTAGCTTGAAAACGCCGAATCCCAGTAATTGAATAGAATACACTGGCCCTGAGGATGAGTTATCGTGCCTTTGAACCTCTTCCCGGTATTCTTAGCAGGAAGGGAGGGGGTGAATATAAGGTTAATGGATTCTGCTGCTAAACTGAACTTCGAAATGAGATTTCATTGATTTAATATTCCTCTATTAACCTCCCAAGACAGTGTCCCTTGTGGCCCTACCAAAGTGCAGCCTCGATACTTTCTTTCCCATGAGAGTATGTGCTATTGCCCTTGCTATGACAGGGACAGATGATGAGTGCAGGATGACTCTTTGGCCAGCTGGCCTCTCCCCTTGCTGTCTGAGAAGGGTAGCAAGCCCTGGCCGGCAGGCAGAGCTACTTTATAAGGATTGGCCTTCTTCTGAGGAGGCTGCCAGGTCCGTGGCTGCAAACAGTCCTCTGCTGCATGTGGCTATGGGCATGAGTCACACCTTCTGGGAGTGGGAGCCAGGAAGGAGAGGACTGTTCAAAGACAGTGTGGCAAGAAGAGCAAGGGCTACAGGCACAGATTATTTCATGCACCCTTCTCCCTGCCCAGGAGCCTTTGCTGCAGCCTCCAGACTGCCAGCTGGGGCCTTGCCCACCTCTGGGCAAAGCATGTGGGTCAGAGCATCTGTGGCCTTGCTGGGCGCTGCCTCCTGCTGCTGCCTCCTGCCACCCCTTTAGCCCCTGCCCTCAGGCTTTTGTTTGCTAGACTACATGGTGCTTTCAGCCATTCTTCCTGGGTGTCTGCCCTTCCCTGACCCTTCTTACCCTGGCTGCACCCTCCATGGCTCTAATTTCCCCTGGAGGTCCCCTGGCACCACTTGCAGGTTTGTGAGGGGGCCTCTTTCCCAGGGGCATGCCACAGGTGAGGAAGGTGAGGAGGTTCCTGGGGCCTGCCTAGCTCTGAGCAGGCTCCAAGGGGTCCTTGTCCTCTCTCTCTGTCTCTCTCTTTCTGTCTCTCTGTCTCTCTCTCTCTCTCTCTCTCCCTCTCCTTCTCTCCTTCTCTGTCCCTGCACACAACACTTCCCTCCTCTTACACACAGACAGCAAACACTGCCTCTGTCCCTGCCAGACTGGCACTGTCTGTGGACTTTCCTTACAGGTCTCACTGATATTGGAGCATCCTCTGCACCTTGCCCCATCTGCTCCATGGCATTTGTCTGGGGTGGGTTCTCACTCTTCAGGGGTAAAGAGTACTTGGGTGCCAAGGGTGATGAATAAAGAGGGTGAAAAGTTGGCAATACAGCTTTCTTGGTCAAAATTAAAACAGTGAGGCCTTTTAAGTACAGCCTTTGTTTGGATATGTGAGTCCTGGTATGTTATGTAAAAAAAAGTGTCACTTCTCCAGAGCTGTATCTAGTAAAACACGGATGCTCCCAGCTTGTACAGAGGCCATCTCTTTTATTCTTTGAGTATCAGTGTGGGTTGTGTGAAGCTTTTGTTAAAATGGTAGTGATGGTATCTCTCTCATGAGTCATACAGTTAGGGTGGGGCAGGTATCTTAGACTTCATCTAAGATACCAACTTCGTATCTGAACCCTGCCTTTGCTGGCATGTGGCTTAGCATCAGGCAAATACCTGGGCTTCAGGGACAGACAGGCCTGGGCAGGAGTATTGGTACCACAGTTCACCCTGAGGGTCAGCACTTCTGTTCATTTGTTGGGATTCAGTGTTCAATTTGGTTCTGCAGTACTGGCCAAGGACCTACCCTTCTTGAACCTTGTTTCCTTCTTTATAGTATTTGTCTTTTTTTCTGTTTGGTTAATTTCACTTAGCACAATGTCCTCAGGGTTCATCCATGTAGCATGCATCAGAATTTCCTTATTAAGGCCGAACAATGTTCCATTGTATATATATATACCATGTTTTGTTTGTCATTTTGTTCACTAGTGGCCACCAGGGTAGCTTCCACCCTCAGGCTGTTGTAAGTGATGCTGCTATGAGTCTGGGTGTACAGATCTCTCTTTGAGACCCTGTCTTCCATTCTTTTGGGTGCAAACCCAAAAGTGGAGCTGCTGGATCAAATGGTAATTCTTTTGTAATTTGTTGAGGAACTGCCAGACTACTTTCCATAGCAGCTGCTTCATTTTATGTTCCCACTGACAGTATGCCAGGGTTCTGATTTCTCCACATCCTTGCCAGCACTTGTTATATTCTGGATTTTTTATAGCAACCATCCTAATGGGTATGAGGTGGGATCTCATTGTGGTTTTGATTTACATATTCCTAAACCTTGACATTATTGAGCATTTTTTAATATACTTGTTGACTATTTAAATATCTAATTTGAGGAAATGTCTGTTCTGATCCTTTCCCCATTTTTATTTATTTATATATTTTTTAAAGAAAAGGGAAGGGAAGGAGAAAGAGAGAGAGAGAAACATCAATGTGTGGTTACCTCTCATGCGTCCCCCTACTGGGAGCCTGGCCTGCAACCTAAGCATGTGCCCTGACTGGGAATCTAATCTGCCACCCTTTGCTTCACAGGCCCATGCTCAATCCACTGAGCTACACCAGCCAGAGCTCCTTTCCCCATTTTTTAATTGAGGTTTTTATTATTGAGTTGTGAAAGTTCTTTAAATATTATGGATATTAATTACTTATATGTGATTTGCAAATATTTTCTCACATTCCATAGGTTGCTTCTTTACTGTCTTGAATGCTCTATTCTGTGTGTCCTTTGATGCACAAAAAATTTTTATTTTTTTGTAGCCCAACTTATCTAATTTTTCTTCTGCTGCCTGTTTTTGGTGTCATATCCATGAAATTATTAAATCCCATGTTGCAAAGCATTTTTAAAAAATGTTTTCTTCTAAGAGTTTTGCCTTGTAGGTTTACATATTTTATCCATGTCGAGTTAATGCTTACCTGTTAACTTTTACCCTTTGGCGTGTGGACATCCAGTTTTCCCAGCGCTCTTTCTTGAAAAGACTGTCCTTTTCCACTGAATGGCCAGGAAGTCATTCTATGGCTAAAACAAAATACTGTACATGAAGTACCTAACACCATGCGTAGCGGTATCTTGAAAAAATGATGGCCCCTTTATCTCCCCCTTATTCAAGACATAGTTTTTAACTACCAACGTTGATCATTAAAAGTATAGTAGCAACTACCTAGTAGTCCTAACTCTGTCTTAGGCCCTATTCCAAGGCCTTTACACACACACATATTAATCCTTACCTGAGGATATGTTTATTGATTTTGGGGGGGAGGAGAGACATTGATATGAGAGAGAAACATTGATTGGTTGCCTCCCATACATGCCCTGACCGGAATCAAACCTGCAACCTTTTGGTGTACAGGACGATGCTACAACCAACTGAGCGGCCTGGCCAGGGTGGGCTTTACTTTGAATTGTCGTAATGACCGTATGGGGTAGTTTACAAATGAGGAAATTGGGCACATAGAAGTCAAGTAGTTTGCCCAAGTCACAGAGCTAGTAAGTAGTGGAGCTTGTATTCAAACCCAGGTAGTTTGGTTCCAGAATCTGTGGGCTAATAAACTTAACATTCTCCCTGTTTGGATTTTTTTTTCTTTTGGTGGGGGGGGGTGCAGTGAACATTATTGATGGTGTTTGACAAGGTAGGGCTCCCTAAGCCCTTCCCCTTCTTCAGGGATAGAATCTGTGGAGGTCAGGGGATTCTCATTGTATTGAGGGCGATTTGGGGCAAGAATTCTCCAGCAGCTGAGGATCTTTCTTTCTCTTTCTGAAGCTGGTGGTCCAGGGGGCTCTTACCCCGTGGAGGCCATGTGGACCATAAGTTCCACCACCCTGTTCTGTAGCCAAATTCATTGTCACACCAGGAAATGAGCTTGACAAAGTGATCATTGCGGGCCATGCCAGCCCTGGCATCGAAGGTACAGGAGGGCGTGGTAAAGATACCCCTGGGCGCCATGGCACAATCCACACCGGCATCATCCATTTGATGCTGGCATAGTCTTGCTGCTGGAAGATGGAGATGGGCTTTCCATTGATGACAAGCTTCGCATTCTCAGCCTTGACTATGCCTTTGAACTTGCCATGAGTAGACTCATGCCGGAACATGTAGAACATGTAGTTGAGGTCAATGAAAGGGTCATTGATTGTGACAGTATCCACTTTGGCAGAGTAAAAGGCAGCCCTGGTGACCAGGCACCAAATACAGCCAAATCGGTTCACTCCAGCCTTCACCATCTTTCTCAGGGGTGCAACTGCTTTTACCCAGCTGGGCAGGAAGATGCAGCCATCTGTCATATGGGAGGAGCAGAGAGCTTTGGGTGATTTTTAATAGCGTAGGCCTGTCATGAGCTTTTCAGTCTGGAGTTTGATGGATGAGGACAGTGTTACGACATTGGCCTCCAGGCCCAGATCTTACTCTGGATGTTCTCTTGTGAAAGCAGAATCCCCAGGACTGCTCTGTTGGCTCAGCCCATCGGTTTGGGAGAATGTGGTGGTTCTGGTCCCACCCTGTTTTCTGCCACAGCCCCTTGTTCAGGAGAAATGTCAACCAGTTTTCTCTCTGACTTTACAGAAAAGGCCACAGATGGCTCCTTGCAGAGTGAGGACTGGACGCTGAACATGGAGATCTGTGACATCATCAATGAGACAGATGAAGGGTATGTGTGTCCCTGCCACCCCTCTGGGAAGCCGTCAGCTCCTGGTGAAACTCAAAGCCTCTCCAGGATTAAGGGTGTCAGGTGTTGTACTTTCTGTTTTGTTTTTAGCTTATCTTGGCATTTAATACCTGATGGCATTTAATACCTGACATTCTTAATTCTCTTTCCTCTTCCTATCCACTCCGCCCTACTTCCCCAGTGGCATTGCAAAGTTAGAACACTGACACCCTCTTTTAATAACCTGCTTTTAATCACAAGTGAAAATGAAGTTGCTTGGTTACTTGGTTCCCAGTGCTCTTTGGTCTCCTCGGCCAGATCAGCCCCTCTGCCCTCCTCCTTCCTGACCTCTGCCCTCCCTTCGCAGATGTGAGACTGTGTCCTCTTGCTTTGCTGGACTGGGGCCCAACAATCAGAGAGGGAGGCTGCCGTGTCCACAGAGGGAACCAGGCTGGGAGAAAGTACACATGTGGCCAGAGCAGCTTGGGTTTCTGTAGTGAGTAGGCTTTCACCCGCAAGCCATGCTGTGCTGCTGTGTCTTCTGTCGTTGCGCACATTAGGGCACCCCTGTCTACATTGCGGCTGCATTCTCGTACCACTTCTTTCTTCCCAAGTAGCCTGTATTGGCCCTCTGTCCACACCATAAAAATGGAACCTACCATCTCCGTATTGTCTTAAACCATTTCTGGAGTGATGGGAGAGGAGCTGGACTCAGGCATTCCTGAGCTTGTACTGTGACACTGTCACAGCCTTGTCAGATATAAAATGGGGACCAACCTCCTAAGGTTGCTCCTGCTTTCATTCAGCACATGTGCACTGAGTGGTGACCTTGTGCTGGGCACTGGTGTCCGTTCTGAGGTCGCAACAGGGCAGGAGAGGGCTGTGAATTAACAATTTTAAGTGGAATAATCAAGGAAAGCCTCACAGAAGGTGCACTGAACAAAGATGTGTAGGAAATGAGGGGGTGAGGAGTGAGGGTTGTACCAGGGAAGCACTTTGCAACAGAGGGAACAGCAAGCACAGAAGTCTTGGGACTGAGGGTGTCTGGTGTGTTTCAAAAGAGCAAAGAGGCCCTGGCTTGTGTGGCTTAGTGGATTGGGTGCTGACCTGCGAACCGGAGGGTTGCTGATTTGATTTTCAATCGGGGTGCATGCCTGGGTTGTAGGCTGGGTCCCCTGTGCGGGGTGTGCAGGAGGTGGTCCCACTTTGATGCTTCTCTCCCTCTCTTTCTCCCTCCCTTCCCCTCTCTCTAAAAAAAGATAAACAGAATCTTTTAAAAAAATAGGAAGGAGGCCAGTGGGGCTGGAGCAGAGTGGGCGAGGAGGGGAGGGTACCAGGAAGGGAGGTCAGAGATGTCTGGACCCAGACAACAAGGCACCAGGGCCTCAGGCTTGACCTGGGCGGAGCGGGATGGGGGGGTCCCTTGGATGATCTGAGCAGAGCTAAGGCATGGTCTAACTTTCATTTCAAAGAGATCATTCTGGCTACCATGTGCAGAGTAGCCTGGCTGGGAATGGACCAAGGGCGGAAACAGAGAATCCATTAGGAGGCTCTTACTGTCATCCTGTTGTGCAAGGTGGCAGCTTTGACTTGGATGATGGCAGAGGAGGCAGTGAGAGATGATCAGGTACTGAATATATTTAGAAGGGGGACCAATGAATGTGCTGATGTGGGAGGGAGGAGTCAGGGATACAGGGATGGAGCAGACTGCGGGTGCAGAGATCAACAGTGCAGACTGACTTGCCAGTGAAGTCCCAGTGCCCACCACTGAAGATGCTGAAGGGGGCTGGCACAGAGGAAGCTGGAATTGGGGTAGTGGCCCATGCTGGAGATGGGCATTTGGGAGTGCTTAGTGAAAGATGGCGCATTTCTGCAGGCTAAGGGCAGGTGCTCACCTCGGTGCCTGGCACACAAATGGGAATCACACAATTGTTGGGGGCTTCACCTTTCTAAGGCCATCGTCACTGGGCTTCTTTTCTCTTCACATCTGCCTCAGACGCCACTTATTTACTTCTTTATCTAGTTGTTATCCCACATTTGTGGACCCCACAGGGGAAGGCCCAGATACCAAGATGAGTGTGTGGCTGCTCTCGAGGTGTTCCCCACGCAGAGCTAGCTGGGCTGCGCAGAAGAGCATGTGGCAGAATCAAAGAAGCAGCAGAACTTCTGGAGGCTGACCTGCGCCTGAGCCCCCAGGACAGCAGGGAAGGGAGAAGTGTGTCCTGTAGTATAGGGGCATGGAAGGGACAGCAGGGTGGGGTATGGGTGGTCGTGGGGTGCAGCAAGGAAGTGGAGAGAGGGTTGTCTGGAACAGAGGTGGTTCAGGTCAGGTTGTGAAGAGCCTTCTTCCTGTGTCGCCCCCCAGAGATGGGCTGTACCCTTGGGCGACCCACCGACCCTTGCCTCTTTCCCTGTCTGCCCTCTGTGCTGCAAGCGGGGACTCTCAGAGATGCAGGACTCACAAAGTCACTCCCTTGCCAACAAGTCTTCCCTTGGAGTAAAAGTCCTCCACACACCCTGTGGGATAACCGGGGCCCTCCATCACTCCACTTGGGGTCCTCTCTCCTCGTCCTCCCCTCTCAGCCCCACAGATCCCTTGAGCTTTCCCAAGCCCTGTGCCCTGTTTGCAGTTCTCCACAAATGGGAGGGACATAGACACAAACGTGCTGGCATGGGACCCACTCACTCCAAAAGGACTGAGGCCTCATTTCAAGGTCTGCAGCGGGGTCCGCTGCTCTCACAGTCCTCAGAGCACCTTCCTACTGAAGTGACCCACTCTTCTGTTCGTGCACTTCTCAGAGGGCGCCCTTTTGCCTCCTGGGACTTCCTGTCCTCACCTCTGCTGTGAGGTGACTGCAAGCCTCTCCCCACATGTCCCCTGCCCACTTCGTCCTGCTTCAGAGTTTCAGGCCTAGTGTTCCCTCTGCCTCACGCCACCGTCCCCACTCACTTACTAGTCTTTCATTTACTGCACCTCATTTCCCTGACACCGTCCCTCCTCACTTGGACAGGCCCCCTTGTTGTGTGGTTTTGTAATACCCTGTTTGACACTCACACTCATCACAGTTTAAACTTACATATTTGCAAGACATTTGTTAGACTCTGTCTCATCCCCAGCTCCCTCTGGACCGTGCTTTCCCTGTGGACAGAAATTCTGTTTTGCCACTGTTTCACCCCCAGCACCCAGCATTGTGTGCGCATAACTGGCTTTTGACAAACATTTGTTAACTAAGGGAATAAATAAATGAAGTCCCTGTGAGGAATGGAAGCATGTGAATATAATTATAGCACACTGTGACAAGTGCTCTGAGAAAGAAGCTTAGAGAGCCAACCAGAGATACTGTCCCAAAGGCAGCGAGCTGGCCCCAGGGCCGACACAAGGAAAGGATTCTTTTTTTTTTTTTTTAGATTTTATTTACTTATTTTTAGAGAAGGAAGGGAGAGAGAGAGAGAGAGAGAGAGAGAGAGAGAGAGAGAGAGAGAGAAACATCAATGTGCAGTTGCTGGGAGCTGTGGCCTGCAACCCAGGCATGTGCCCTGACTGGGAATCGAACCTGCGATGCTTTGGTTCGCAGCCCGAGCTCAATCCACTGAGCTATGCCAGCCAGGGCAAGGAAAGGATTCTTGGAGGAGGGGACGTCCAAGTGGAATCTGGGGTCAGCCAAGTGAAGATGTGGATGGGGTGGTACACATAGGAAGGGGAGTGTAGTGAGGTTAGGGGCATGGAGCCTGGAGGCAGCAGCCTGGGCTGTGGTCCTAGGGCCTCTGCTCACTTGTCATGTGACCCTGAGTGAGTTACCTAATCTCTCTGTGTCTTGGTTTCGTCATTAACAAATAGGGAACATGTGCGGTGCCAAGCTCTGGGTCAAACCAGCTCATGCAGCACCCTGCTCCCTCCCGACAGCCCCATGCAGCAGGGACAGTGCACATTAACGTTGAGGGGATGGGCCCAGAGTAGGCTGGTCACTTGCCAAAAGTCTCACCTCACAGCTCTGAAGTCCAGGTGCAAGCCAACAACACTATGCCTGCACTGCTTTTATTTATTTCGAGTTCTGCCTCTGGGAGGCTGGGGTCCTGCCGGGCCCCCCACAGCCCCTCTCTGCACTTTCCCTGATGTCCATGGTTGGGGCGGTGTGTGGCAGCCCCGTGTATCCTGGATCTTTTGTCATTAATCAGGAGTGCCTGGACAAGTTGTCTACCCAGAAAGGTTTTAGACCCTGTTTACCAGGCCTCTTACCTTGTCCTATGTAATTAGGGCATAGGCACATGGATTTGGTAAGCATTCTTTGCTTCTGATGTGAGGACCCGTTGACCTGGGTCATGTTCATGACGTTGCTGGATCTTCCCAGCTCACTGAAGCTCTGTGTTTCCCAGCCTCTAGGCGGGAGGGGGCGAAGAGGAGTAACTGCTGGAAAAATGCAGTACAGCTAGAGAATAGTTGAATGGGGGTGGGGCAGGAGGGAGAGGAGGTATTTAGGGTGAGGGCGTGGGGGCAGCCATGTCCTCCATCAGGGAACAAGGAGGAAACATTTCTGGAGTGGCATTTCTGGGGCCGAAGGACAAGATGAGTTCAGTATGACTGGAAAGAAGGTCTCTTATGAGGCTGCTGTTGGAGATCACTTTGGGAAGGCTGAAGACAGTCCTGAGGCCAGATCCAAGGCCCTGGGGGCAGCCCTGAGGGGCACAACCTTTCCTTCCAAAGCTCTCGGGGATGTTGGGGCATCTCACACATGTCATTGCCTCCTGGTTCTTTCTGCTCCATCTTGGCTCTTGATTCTTCCTTTTTTCTTTTCTCCCTGTTTCTAACTCCTTGCTGTCTAATCTGCTGCTGATGCTTGAAACTTTGCAGTTCCTCCGACATGCCTTTGATCCTCCTCCCTGAAGCTTCTTCCCCAGGGAGAGATAAATACTTGTTTTTGTGCTTACTCAGTCATTCCCAGGCAGTACTTCCTGAGGATGAATTTTCATTTTAACTCCAAGCTGAGAGCCTGCTGACTCTAATTTCCCTCTGCCACCATTGCCTCCACACCAGGAGAGCTCTGGCAGCGCTATACTTGGTGAGCTCGGTGTGATTACAGCCCTGGAGTTTGTACCCATTTTTCTGCTCCATGGAAGCACAAGAGGAGAGGAAAGAGACTATATTGAGAGGGATGGCAGCCATGGGTCAGGGTTAGCTATGGTTTGGCAGAACCCTTGAGAGATGAAATCAATCAGTTCTCCTGGCCAGTAGCTGCTGACCTTCACCAGCTCAAGTTCAAGTCCTCTAAGCCAAGAGCTTGTCAAGTCCCATATTTGCAGAAATCAGCATTCCTATTTGGAAACTGCAGCCATACTACAAACACTCTTGGCAAGGACCCCTTCCCCAGGGAGCCTTGTCCCATTAGCCCTTGGACTCAAGAGCCAAGAATTCCTGCCGGCAGTCATTTTTCAAGTTGGGAATGGAAAATAGGTTCCCAATTTCTTAAGCTCAACGTTTAATTCTCTTTGCTCTTTCTTATTAATGACTAGTTAACTACCTATTGTAACAGAAGCCTTGCCTTGCTACAGTGTGTTTCTGTCTAAATTGGGCTGATTAGCAGAGCTTCCACCCCCACCCCCACCCCAACTTCCTCGTACACACTTGAAAGGACTTTTCCATTTGGTAACTAGATGATAAATATTTTAGAGCTGTAGGAATAGGAGGTTACTGACTTACCAACCTTCAGTTTTGGAAAGACCCAGGTGTATCAACATGTCAGGCTGCAGAAGTCTGGAGCCCACTCGTGATAGCAAAAGGCAGTCCCTGCAGCCAGACTGGGGCTCCCCACAGCTCAGGTGACAGGGCATTCATGGGCAGGGCTTCGTGACAGAGGGAGCTCTTAGTCCCACACCTTTGTATTATCTTGGCTGAGAATAAATTAAATAATGTGTTAGACATAAGAACTGTACCTAATAGGTACTCTTAGATGGCTGGCTGGGGACTCGAAGTCCCAGCTCTAACAGTGACTTAAGGAAGGTTGTGTTGCAAGTTCCAAATAATCAGCTTATAAGTGAACTTTTAAACATGGCCCACTTGTAAACTGGGGACTGCCTATAATTCTGTGAGGTTGTCTTTGGGAATCCACATCAGATCCATCACCTAAAAGCACACAATTCCTAGGGTTTTGAGGAGACTGAAGTTTTCTTGGGGAAAAAGAGTCCCAAAGAACTGGGAAGGGCCTGAACATCCAGGCCTAAGCGCGCCTGGCCGTTGTCTCTGCGGTTTCTTCAGTGTCTCTGCGTTGTTTATGGTTTTGGATAAATGATATTTGCATATGATACAAATTTCAAAAGGGCTACAAATATACAATCCAGTGAAAAACTTGCCTGTCCCCTCTGTCACTCAACTCCCCTCGTAAGGGCCAGCCAAAGTTATCAGCTTCTTGTAGCCCTCTCTGGAGAGTCTTTTCCTATGCAGGCATGCGCGCTGTGTCTGTGTGCTGTCCTGTGTAACTCAAATAGTAGCATGCACCACGTGCTGCTCTGCAGATGACTCTTCCCAAAGTTTGCTCCATGTTGGTGCATAAGGAGTGTTGATTCTCTTTTTAAAATAGCATTTATTTATTACCCTTACCTGAGGACATGCTAATTGATTTTAGAGTATTAATTTTAGAGAGAAAGGCAGGGAGTGAGAAAGATCAATCAGTTGCCTGCCGTACACACCCCAAGCAAAGATACAACTCACCACTAATGTGTGCCCTGATGGGGAATCAAGCTTGTAGCCTTTTGGTGTGTAGGATGATACTCTAACCAACTGAACCATCTGGCCAGGGCAAAGATGTCTATTCTTTTTTGCAGCTGCATAGTGTTTCATTATGTGGATAAACATGATTTAATTTAACCTGTTTTAGGTTGGTGGACATTTAGTTTGTTTCCACTCTTTCACATTTATAAACCTGCTGCAGCAAGTAACTTTGTATATATGCTAGTTTACACAAACAGGAGTGAATTTGTAGGATAGGGACCTGAAGCATAATTTTCAGGGATCTTAATATGTCCTTTTCTGCAGGCCAAAGGATGCCATTCGAGCCCTGAAGAAGCGGCTCAACGGGAACAGGAACTACAAAGAAGTGATGCTGGCATTAACAGTGAGTGCTGTCCTCCAGTGGGTGGGGCGGCATCTGGGCACATCCCTGCTCCTGCCCTGGCCCACTCTCAGGGCCTTCCCTCTGTCCACTCAGCACAGCCTCTAGCATGTGCCTTTGCGTGGCTTGGTGTATGTGCTGCTAGGGGCCAGTGGAGCCTTCCATAGCGCCTGTGGGTTTTCCTTCCACCTCTGAAATGGGGAGTGAACTTCAATCTTGTGTATGCCAGTGGAAGATAAGGCACAGGCAGCACTGATTGGCCCAGAAGCCCAGAGTAGAGAAGCCCAAGAGGCCTGGGTCTGCCTCTGGCTGCCAGCCTACTGTAAGACATCTAGGCTTGCTGCTTCCCTAGGTATCACTTGCCTCCAGAAAATGCTAACTTACACCCCAAAACCTACCTGCTACTGAACTTTCCAGATGTTAATGCAGATGTTTACAATAACCTTCTAAAAGAGGGTTCATCATCCCCTCACAGGGATGGAAAAACCAAGGCTCAGGAGATGCCTAGGGGTTTGCCCAGACTTCCCTCTAATAAGGTGCCGTGCTTCGGACTCTGGAGTAAGGACCGATCATCACTAGGAGGGTCTTGGAGAAGTTGGCCTTCCTGTCAGGAAGGAACAGAGCAGATTTTTGCCCTTACTTAAAATGTCAGAAAATTAAAGGGGACAACTTCAAGTGTTATTCTGTCTTAGAAGCTAACCGTTTTTCAGATGTGGCAAAATGTAGACGACAGTGAATTCTTTTTAAAAAATATGTATTTTTTATTTTTAAATTAGTTTACAATATTATTTTAGTTTCATGTGTACAGCCCTGTGATTAGATATTTATGTAACTTAACAAAGTTGATGATCCCAATAGATCTAGTACCCATCTGACATCATATATAGTTATTATAATATTGCTTATATTTGCTATGCTGTACTTTACATCCCTATGACTACCCTGTAACAACCCATTGGCACTTCTTAATCCCTTCACCTTCTTCACCCATCCTCCCCACACCCACTCCCATCTGGCAACTGTCAATATTCTCTGTCTCTATGAGTCTGTTTTTTTCTTGTGCTTGTTTGTTTATATTGTTTGTTAGATTCTACATGTAAGTGAAATCATCTGGCATTTTGTCTTTCTCTATCTGACTTACTTCACTCAGCACAATACCCTCCTCTGTTCATCCATGTCATTAGTGACGGCAAGATTTCATTCTTTTTTATGACCAAGTCTCATTTCACTGTAAATATGCACCACTTCTTTATCCATTCATCTGTTGGTGGGCACTTAGGTTGCTTCCATATCTTAGCTATTGTAAATAATGCTACAGGAAACATGAATGCATATGTCTGTTTCAATTTGGTGTTTTGAGTTTCTTCGGGGAAATATGTAGAAATGGAATTGAATTGTTGGGTACTACTTTGTCTATTGTTAAAGCATTGGTTTTAAAGTCTATTTTTCTTGTCTAAGTATTTCTACTGCAGCTTGTTGGTATTTGTTTCCATTTTCATGAAATGTCTCTTTCTATCCTTTACTTTCTTTTTGTGTATGTCTTTCAATCTGAAGTGAGTCACTTGTAGACAGCTTATATGATGGTCTTGTTTTGTTATCCATTCAGCCACCATATATACTTTGATTGAGGTATTTAAAGTAATTGTTGATAGATATTTATTGCCATTTTATTGTTCATATTTTTTATCCTTTATTCTTCTTAAAGAAGACCCTTTAACATTTGTTGTAATACTGGTTTGGTGGTGATGAAGTCCTTTAGCTTTTTTGTGTCTGGGAAGCTCTCTATGATGTTCTTTGATTCTAAATGATAGCTTTTGGAAATGGATATGATAATCTTGGTTGTAGGTCCTTGCTTTTCATCCCTTAAATATTTTGTGACATCTCCTTTTGGCCTTCAAAGATTCTGTTGGGAAATCAGCTGAGAGTCATATGGGAGTTCCCTAATAGGTAACTAACTGTTTTCTCTTGCTGCTTTTAAGATTCTCTCTTCATCTTTAATGCCATTTTAATTATGATATGTCTTGATGTGGGTCTCCTTTGGTACATCTTGTTTGGGACCCTCTGTGCTTCCTGGACTTGTGTGTCTATTTCCTTTAGCAGGTAAGGGAAATTTTCTGTTATTATTTTTTAATAGCTTTTCAATACATTTGCTGTTGTCCCAGAAGCCCCTTAAACTATCCTCATTTTTCTTTCTGTTGTTCTGATGGGTGTTTTCTGTTGCTTTATCTTCCAAACTGCTAATTTAAATCTCTGCTTTATCTCCTTTATTGTTGATTCTCAGTAATGTATTCTTCATTTCAGTTAGTGTATTGTTCATTTTTTACTGGTTCTTTTTATGTTTTCTATTTCCATTTTTATGTTTCCTATCTCTTTGTTGAGGTTCTAAGTTATTCTGCTCTCTTGCTAAGTTTACTGAGCATCCTTATAACAAGTTTTTTTAACTCGGCATCTAAGAGATTGCTTGTCTCCATTTTACTTAACTCTTTTTCTGGAGTTTTGTCCTGTTCTTTCATTTGGGAAATGTTTCTTTGTCTTCTCACTTTGCTGTCTCCCTGTGTTTATTTCTGTGTTAGGTAGAGCTGCTACATATCTGGACTTGGTAGAGTGGCATTGTGTAGAAGGTGTTCTATAGGGCCCAGTGGTGCCCTTACCTGATCTGGGCACTCCAAATGTAGCCCCTATGAGGACGGTGTGTACCCTCCTGTTGTAGTTGAGCCTTGATTGCTGTTGGCATGTCAATGGGAGCAATTGATTTCCCAGGCCGATTGGCTGTGAGGACTGGCTGCAACCACAGTGGAGGATCTGCTGTCAGGGACTTACCCCATGGAGCAAAACTCACTTTAGCAGGGTTCAGGTACCTGCCAAGTCCACTTGAGAGTGTTACTTGCAGAGGTGGTTGGGTGGTGCTTTCACAGGGCCTGCAGCTGTCTGCTAGGTGCATTATCTCTGGGCCTCCTGGCAGGTGCAGGACAAGGTCAGCTGCCACCTGTGTCCTGCCCAGGGCCACCTGGAACGAGCTATAAAGCTATCTGCAGATGGCTTGGAGGCTCCTGAGAGAGGCCAAGCTGTGAACCAAGGCCAGCTTCTGCTAGCTCTGGGTCTGGGGCCGCTTAGCAGGAAGTACAGTGCATGCAGAGGCCAGATGCTGCTTGTTTGAGAGATTTTGGGAAAGTTGGCAGCATGAGCCAAGACAAGCCATTTGTATGGTAAATCCACTGGAAAGGTTTGGGTGGGCCTGAAAGTTGGGTAGAACAAGGTCTCAGGGAATCACCAGGGTAGGGCAAACGGTATTACCCAGGTTGATGGAGATTCAGGTATGGTGCCTGTCTGTTGGCTCTAAGTGGGGAGGGGTCAGCAAAGGAGCAGTGGCCTTTGCCAGCACTTTTGTCTGGAAGAAAGCTGACACCCAGCTTTTGCTCTGATACGAGACAATTCAGTTCTTTCCTGTATGTCCCTGACTCCCAGCACTGTGGTTCAGAAGGAGTGAGTCTGAATGACTCCTTTCTGGCCCTTTAAGAGGAACTGCCTGGGACTCCAGAAGCCCTCCTTCTCACTCATCCATAATCTCTGCTGGTTTTTACAGCCGGAAGGTATGGGGACTTTGCTGCCTGGGCTGGAGGGCCTGGTGTGGGGCTGGGACCACTGCCTCCTCAGGAGGACCTTGGAAGCTGGGAGTGGGACCTTCCCATTCTAAATCTCTGCTACCTCTACCAGTCTCAATGTGGCTTCTTTATATCCTTAGTTATAGAACTTGTGCTCATTTGTATTTCAGGCAGTTCTACATGGTGGTTGTTCTGTAGTTCAGTTGTAATTTTGATGTGGTTATAGTAGGTTCCAAGTACTGTGTTTTCATATGCCGCCATCCTGACTGGAGATAATCTACAGTTAATTCTTATCATGGAAACTGTTGACAGGTCAGCACTGGGCTTCTCTGTAGGTTTGAATAGTGTGTTACTTATCCCAAACTGTTATAATATGTTTCCTTTTAAACACAAAGAAACTGTACACTTTTTGCCCAAGTGAAAACTCGACATTAGGAGCATTCTCTCTACCAGGGAATTGGGATCTGAATAATAAAAGAGAAAAAGACTGTTGAGAAATAGGAAGTTGAAGACTTTTTTTTAAATCCTCACCCGAGGACATGCTTATTGATTTTAGAGAGAGGGGAAGAGAGGAAGAGAGAGTGGGAGAAAAATATTGATGTGAGAAACATATGTGCCCTGAGCAGGAATTGAACCTGCAACCTAGGCATGTGCCCTGACCAGGGATTGAACCCACGACCTTCCAGTTTATGGGATGACACTCAAACAAACCCACTGAGTCACAGAGGCAAGGGTAAAAGCTTTAATTTAATTTAATTTAATTTAATTTTTTTTTTCCCCAGAATTTGAGCCATGGCATTCATTAAACCCAGAGTGTGCCCAAAATCAATTGTTGTCAGTAACTGAAATCATGAGAGAACGAATTCTAACATGTCAGGACACTTTCCTGGTATTTGAGATACAGCCTTTATGTGCCCAACTTCATGGTGGCCATATCGGATAGAAACCTTTCTACAGTGGCTCTGCCTTTGTTTCCTTTCTACAGTGGAGCAGTGGGCATCGGTTAATCTTTCCTGATGGTCAGGTCTCATTTAGTATTATTATTTTTCCCAGCTTTATTGAAATGTTATTGACATATAACATATAAGTTCAAGGTGTACCGTGTGATGATTTGATGCACATATATTTCAAAATGATTACCACAATGTTAGTTAATCCTCTGTTCCCTCACATCATTACATTTATGTATGTGTGTGTCTATGGTGATAGTATAGTAACCATACTATGCATTAGATTCCCAGAACTTACTCATGTTACATCTCTCTTTTTCCCCCAGCCCAAGACAGCCAGCATTCTAGTCTCTTGTACAAGTTCAGCTTTTGTAGATTTGTACGAGTACATAAGAGAGCACTTACAGTATTTGCCTTTCTGTGTCTGACTTCTTTCACTTAGTCTAATGACCTCCAACTCCATCTGTGTTGCAAAAGACAGGGTTTTATTCCTTTTTATGGCTGCATTATTTTTTATTGTATACAGTACACACCACACTTCCTTATGCATTCATTCATTAGTGGGCACTTATGTTGTTTCCATGTCTTCACTATTGTGCATGATACTGCGGTGAACATGGGGGTGCAGATATCTTTTAAGCTAGTGTTTTCTTTTCTTCAGATAAATACGCAGAAATAGAATCTCTTGATTATATGGTAGTTCTTAGTTTTTTGAGGAGTCTTCATACTGTTGTTCATAATGGCTGCACCAGTTGCATTCCCACCAACAGTAGACAAGGGTTCCTTTTCTCTACAACCTCGGCAGCACTTGTTACTTCTCCTATTTTTGATGGCAGCTGTTCTGACTGGTATCTCATTGTGGTTTTGATTTGCAGTTCCCTGATAATTAGTGATGTCAAGCATCTTTTCATGGACCCCTTGGGTATTTATGTGTCTTCTTTGGCAAAATGTCTATTTAAGTCCTTTGCCCATTTTAAAATAGAATTTTGAGGGGTTTTCTTGGTATTACATTATGTAAGTTCCTTATATACATTTTATATTAACCCCTTATCTGATAGTTTATAAATATGTTCTCCCATTTTGTGGGTTGCCTTTTATTTTCCCAATTGTTTCTTCTTTTGTGAAGACACTTTTAGTTATAGTCCCACTTGTCTATTTTTTATTTTGTTGCCTTTGCTCTTGGTGTCAGATCCAAAAAATCTTTGCTAAGATCAATGTCAAGGAGCTTTCTCCCTGTTTTCTTTTAGTAGTTTTACAGTTTCTTCAGTAGTGTTACATTTAAGTCTTTAGTCCATTTCGAGTTCATTTTTGTGAGTGGTGTAAGATAGGGATTCAGTTTTAGCCCTTTGCATGTGGACATCAGTTTTTCCACCACCATTATCAAAGAGACTGTCCTTTCCCTCACTGAGTCGCCTTGCCTCCCTTGTCAAATATTAGTTGACTGTATATGTATGGATTTATTTCTGGGCTCTTGATTCTGTTCCATTGGTCTGTATTTCTTTTTATGCCAGTACAACACTGTTTTGATTACTATAACTTCGCAATATAGTTTGAAATCAGGCATTGTGATGCAGGATTGCTTTGGCTACTTTTGGGCCTTTTATAGTTCTATACAAATTTTAGAACTGCTTTTCCTGTTTCTGTGAAATCTAGAGATGACTTTGGGTAGTATTGGCATTTTAACAATATTAATTCTTCCAATCCATGAACACAGAATATCTTTCTATTTATGTATGTCTTCAATTTCTCTCATCATTGTTTTATAATTTTCAGGGTACAGATCTTTTACCTTCTTGATCAAATTTATTCCTAAGTATTTTTTTAATTTTAATATTTTAATGTTAGCTGTCAGGTCTTTGCAAATCCAGTGATGCCTTTGGGAGACTCATGAATGTTCAGATCCCTTGTCTGCACATTTCAGAGGTCCTAGTCTGGTGCATGTGCATGGTTTTTATGGCTTCTTTGTCTTCACTTACCCTATTAGTCGCTCTTAGTTCTCTGCTTGGACCTAGTGTATGAACGGGAGACTCCTGTTTCTCATTGTTTAGATACACCTTCTGCTAACTCTGTGGGCTTTGGCTGCATTCGGAAAATTGCTACTGTGTATTTCATGCCCTACAACCCACAGGGACAGATTTTTCCGAGGACCTTTTTGGCAGAGCCACTTGAAGTGGTCACTGGGTCTCCTTGGGCTGAGTGGTCCTTGGCAGCCAGGGCAGACCTCCTGCATCTTCTGTTCTGCTTGGCTTTGGGGCTGCTCTGTAGCTCAGGCCACCTCTCTTCAGGACATTTCCAAGCCTGTGGTCTGAGCTCCACAGTGTCTGGCTGTGAAGGCTACTATGTAGGGAAATGTAAGGCCATGTTCCTTTGGGGTGGAGTGTGTCCTGGCCCACCGCTGCCCTGTGCGTGGGGGCAGAGCTTGGCCGCCCTGTTGCCTCAGCTGCCCTGCTCCTCTTTTCTCATGTTCCCTCCCACCACACCTGCTCTTCCCCAGCTTCCTGTTCATCCTTTCCCCAGCTTCTCATGAAAGAAGCCATTCTTCCTGCCACCAGCCTTGGCCTCAGCAGCCCACTGCCTGTGTGGTAAAGTTAGGAGGAGGTTTTAGAGGATCCTCAAAAGAAGGGCACTGGTAACTTCCTGAGGGCAGGAAGACCACCCATGTTCATCTTGGCAGCCCCATAGGTCACTGTGAGAGAGAATGCTGTTACCTCTGGTCACCTGGAGTCCAGTGTGAGCAGAGGCAGACCTCAGTGGCCGAGGACGCTGAGCTGCAGAGCCGTCCTTGGCAGGCTGAGCGGAAGCTGGCATTTCCGGGGGTGGGCAGTAGTGGAGGAGGAACAGATCTGACTGGTGCAGAACTGCCAGGCTCAGGGGGGCCTCCAGCCCTGGCCTCCTCAGGGAACTTTCCAGCATCTCCAGATCTCAGCCTCCTCATTGCTACCGGGGGGTGACACCCACCTCACAGGGAATGAGAAATCCAGCACACCCTGCCTGTCAACTCTTGGGTGAGGAGATGAGGGCTCCAGAGAAGGCTGGTGGCAGTCCCACACTGCATCTGGCACTGACCAGCAACTTTGACCCAGACCAGTTTCTTTACCTTTCTAAGCCTTCTAACTCTAAGAAGATGGGGTAAGAGCACCCACTTAAAATAAGTTGTGAGAAGTGAATGAATTATATAGAATGTGAAGGAATCCCTCACATTACCTGGCATGTAGTCTGCAGTTAATGGTAAGGTCATGCCTCTCTTTGTGGCCATTCTTTGTCCAGGTGGTACCTCATTGTATGAACCAAGTTCTATGCAATGCTGCATAAGGTGGCCAGAGGTCAAGTCAGTGGGGCAAATGAGGCCGTCAGAAATGTCCCCTGTTGCTGGTGATGTCCTGCCAAGGAGACATTCCCCACTAGTCGACTGTGGGATTAGGGGACACCGACAGGGGAGGGCCAGGTAATTGTGTGGGCTGACTTTCCAGAGAGCTAAGCAGTTCAGAAAGTTGTGTCAAGGCAGGGGAGAGCTTGAAGATGTCCCGCAGCCTCCTGAGTGGTAATCATGTCATTGTGGCTGTCATTACCTGGCTCTCCCTGTGCAGGGCTCCATGTCACCCTCACCACAGGCCTGGAAGGGGGTGCTCACATGCCCACTTTACAGATGGGGATGCTGAGGCTCCAGCAGACTTGTTCTAGGCCATTCAGGAAGAAAGTGATGGCACTGAGGTTTAAGCACATACTGGCCTTCTGGCCAGAACCCACATGTGCTTGTGCTTTTCAGAGTGGCTAAGCCCGTGTCACTCATTTTACTGGGAGGAGTGGGTGGGGTTTGAAGTGTACAAGGACTTTAAAGCTGTCACAGCAACAGAGGCCCCAACCTTTCAGTAACAGTGGAAATCCCTCTGTCGTTTTCACTTTCAGTAGCAGAGGCAGGGTTGTGTATGTGTGTGAAGTGTGTGTGCACGTGTTTGCCTCCTCACATAAAAGGGCCAGTAACTCACTGGGTAGTTCAGGCTGTCACAGCAGCCTTCTCTTGTGACAGAGCATGTGTCCCATTGGCTAATGCCTCACATTCAGAAGCCCAGAGAGAGGAGTTAAAATGCTAATTTCCAGAGACCACTCAGTCATTTGGATCCCACTGAAACACCAGCATCCTTCTCCTGCAAGACGGATGCCTAAATGAATGACAGAGTGCCCGATTACTGCCCAGGGGCAGTCAGCCAAGGGCTGCCTCCTCACCGAAGAGTGTGAATTGGTGGGAGGCATCTGTGCCACTTAGGTTCAGGTCCAAAGGAGACTGCCGGGAAGACGACCTGGGAGAAGGGCAGAGGGGTGGTGGAGACTCTGCAGCCTTCCTGGGTGCCTGGAGGCTCCCCGGGCTCCCACGGTGGTTACCTCCTTCCTTCTCTCCTGTACCAGGTGCTGGAGACATGTGTGAAGAACTGTGGCCACCGCTTCCATGTCCTTGTGGCCAACCGAGATTTCATTGACAGTGTTCTGGTCAAAATCATCTCTCCCAAGAACAACCCTCCTACCATTGTACAGGACAAGGTGCTCGCTTTGATTCAGGTAGGTCAGCTCCTCTTGTCCAGTTCATTGGGCTGGAGGAAGATGGGGCCTCTTCTCAGTGAGTCCTCATGCTCGCCCATCATTTGCAAGAAAGAGTGGAGGCTTCTGCATATAGATAGTTGCTGCAAAATAGTTCTTTTTTACACTCATTTCACTCATCCCACTGGATTGAAACCCTAAGCAGTGACTCTCCAGCTGGTTGACAGAGGTTTCCCTGAAATTTTATGGGTGTCTGGCCCTCTGCTGCCCACAAGGGCATGTGGGGCGTGGGCAGCACTCTGAGCCATCAGGGACAAGGTGGAATAGGAAGGGTCGTCATATCAGAGCTGTGTGCAGGGCCAGTGAGTCACATGGTGAGGCAGCTCTGGAGCAAGCAGGGGAGTAGTGGGCAGATGGCATTGATGAGGGGTTCACTAAGGAGATGACATTTCTGTTGGACGGTGAAGGATGGCGAGGAAAGTGGTGAGCATGTGAGAAATGTCTCAGGCGAGGAGAATAGCACATACAAAGGCCGAGATGCATTAAAGAGGGCAGTCATCACATTCAGGATATATTCTTCATTCATTGTTCTGTAACAAATTACCCCCAAGTTTAGCAGCTTAAAACAATACATATTCACTACCTCACAGTTTCCGTGGGTCAGGAATTCAGAAGAAGCTTAGCTAGGTGACCCTGGCTCAGGAGCTCATGAGGTTGCAGTGAAGATGTTGGCTGGCCGGGCCTCATCTGAAGGCTCAAATGAAGCTGGAGGAGCCACCTCCAAGGTGGCTGACCCCCATGGGTCCTTGCTGACTGTTGGTAAGATGTCTGAGTTTCTTGTCACATGGCCCTCTTGAGTGTCCTTGTGATGTGGCATTTGGTTTTCACTAGAGCAAGTGACCCGAAGGAGAGTGCGGGAGAAGCCACAGTGCCTGGTGGGACTGTGTCTCAGAAGTCATACCCCATCTTATCTGTCACCGTCAATTTGTTAGAAGTAGTCACCAGGTCCATCTTCAAAAATAAAGGAGTCTGCTCTGGCTAGTGTGGCTCAGTGAATTGAGTGCCAGTCTGCCAACCAAAGGGTCACCAATTCAATTCCCAGTCGGGGCACATGCCTGGGTTGCAGGCCAGGCCCCCAGCAACCGCACATTGATGTTTCTCTCTCTCTTTTTCTCCCTCCCTTCCCTCTCTAAAAATAAATAAATAAAATCTAAAAAAAAAAAAAAGGCATCACATGGAGAGGGGAGTGTAATGAAGAATGTCTGGGGCCAGGAGATAAGGTCAGAAAGACGGTCGGAGCTTATGGGCACATATACTGGGGAGTTGGTTCTTTAGCCTCTCAGCAGTGGGGAGTATTGAAGGTTTCTGAGCTAGGTGTACACAGTCAGATCTGGATTTTAGACAGAGCACCCTGGTGACAGGTTCAAAGGCACACAGGTCAAGAAGCTCATCCAATGTGGGGTGTTAGTGCTGTGGTACAGGAAAGATAAGGGCCTGTAGGAGCCAAGAGGAGAGGGGAGAGCCAATGAGGGGTGGGGGCAAGGCTAAGAAGGCAGAGGCAGTGTGATTAGGGCATGGGCTTTGGAGGTCATGTGGCCCCTGAGGCTGGAGAGAGGAGAGGGCCTTCGCCCAGGAGTCTGCCAACTCTGCCTGGAAGCATTCCCCAGTACTTGGGGCAGCTGGCTTGCCCCCCATTCGGACAGCCCTCAGAGGACTCCCACCCAGGTCTGCAGTGCACATCATACACTTTCCCATCACCCACTTTTGGTCTCCAGCAACTTCTGTGCAAATGTCCCTATCCCGTCTCTCTCTGAGCTCTCTAAGAGCCGAGGGATGTTCCATCCCAGGGCTAGGGCACCTGACATTGTGAGGAGGTGTTCAGTAAGTTGCTGTTTCTCTTAAGGAATGAATGACTGTTGTTTGCTGGAGCTCTAAGGAAGGGAGGAGTGTGGGTGGCCACGGAGCTCCTTGCATGTTCCCTCGGCTTGTTCCTATGCTTTCGTTCCACCTGCCAGACCGCTCTCCCTTTCTCTCTCTCCCGTTCTCTCCCTCCCTCCCCCTCTCTCCCCCTCTCTCCCCTTCTCTCCCCCTCTCTCCCCCTCTCTCTCCCTCTCTCTCCCTCTCTCTCGCATGCGCACACACACACACACAGACACAAATCTCACCCCCTGCCCTCCCTACCCACGCCCCAACAACCCCCTTATTCTGGATGTCCCTAGCACACTCCCTTGCCTCAACACCCTGAGTATTTTTTTTTAAAGATTTTATTTATTTATTTTTAGAGAGGGAAGGGAGGGAGATAGAGAGAGAGAGAGAGAAACATCAATGTGCGGTTGCTGGGGGTTATGGCCTGCAACCCAGGCATGTACCCTGGCTGGGAATCGAACCTGCGACATTTTGGTTCGCAGCCCGCGCTCAATCCACTGAGCTATGCCAGCCAGGGCTCACCCTGAGTATTTGATGTCAGGAAAGTGAACACTGGTTTTTTCTCACAAAGGATGGAGCATTGCAACCTGAACCAGGCAAGCCCACAGGAGCCCTGGGTGCGGTCTGTCTGGGTTCAGGCTGGGAAGGAGGACTTCCTGTGGCCAGGCCCAGGGGACATCAGCTGCCACCAGGCAAGCACAGTCATGGCTGTGTGGGGATCCCTGTTGAGGGTGAAGGCTATGCTGGCTGTGGTCCCTCTCCCTGGGCTTCCAGCCCAGTATACCCTGCCCTGACTTCCAGTGCTTTCCCGTAGGAGTCACCACCACCTCAGCACTGCTGCTTCCCACTCTCTGACCTGGGCAGGCATTTTAACCTCCTTATGTATGAGATGGGGGCCTGCATTCCTGCCTTTCTGCTCCCAGCCCCAAGTCTGTAGGTCCATCAGAGCAGCACAGTTGTCTGCACCCACATCCAGAGGACATCCCCCTGCTGACCTGGCAGCTGCACATGTACCTGTGTCTGGGAGGGAGTGGGTAGGGCCTTGAGGGCCGTGCAGGCCCCTGGGGGGCCAGGACACTCAGGACAATGTCTCTTGGGTCCAGCTGGGAAAGCGCAAGGGGCTTTAGGTAAGGGTGCTTCCAGGTGGGCTTGAGAACCTAACAGGGGAGAGTTCTTCCTGCACAGGTTTGGAAGCTTCCTAAAGAATGTTCAGCCCTGGCCGGTGTGGCTCAGTGGATTGAGCACCAGACTGCAAACCAAAGGGTCACCAGTTTGACTCCCGGTCAGGGTACATGCCTGGGTTGTGGGCTGGGTCCCCGGTTAGGGGCGCGAGAGAGGCAACCACACATTGAGGTTACTTTCCCTCTCCTACCTCCCTTCCTCTCTAAAAAATAAATAAAATCTTTAAAAGAAAGAATGTTCATCTTTGGTCATGGCTAAGCAACGCAGAGGAAAGCAGGCAGCATTCAGAGGTGGCAGGTGGCTTGGCTTCTGTAATGGGCTGGGCCAAGAAATAAACAAGATCAGCCTTTTCATTTACCTTTTATTGAATTATATATTCAGGAAATGGCATATTTTAAAAATATATACAACTTGGCAAATTTTTACAAACTGAACATACCCCTGTAACCAGCCCCCATTTTGTGAAGCAGACTGACACACAGCCAGAAGCCCCGCACCCCTGGCGTGACCACTTGCCTGGCCTCTCACAGCATAGATGGGCTCTTCCTGTCCTTGAACTTTATCAGTGGGGGCTCTGTACCAGCGTGCTGGTGTCTGTGGGTCTGTCTGTCTGTGCTGTGGCCCTCACCTCGTCACTGGACAGCAGTCAGGTCACTGGGCTGTGGCTGCTGGGTATGTGCACTTCACGTTCTTCATCCCTGACCCTGCTGGCGGGCCCTGGTGTTTTGGCGGGCTGGCATGGAAAAGGCTGCTATAAGCATCCAGCACGTCTTTTGGTGAGCATATGTGTCCATTTTTGTTGGGTACATATTAAGTTGAATAGGGGGAACTGCCATCTTTGTTGGTCAAAATGGTCAAATATTAGCCATTTCATGTGGTTCGACCCAGTACCGAGAAGTGGAATTGCTGGGTGGCAGGGATGCCTGCGCTCCGGACTGATAATCACACTAGCAGCCTTGTGCTCTTCTCTGCTGGCATGAGCATTGTAGTTGGCTTAACATCCTCCCCAGGGTATGGCGTCTTCATTGCATCTCATCTGACAAGCACATAGGGGTATTGCATCCTGTCAACCTTTTTTAACCCCTTTGAGAAAGAGGATGATTTTATTTATGTCATGAATGTAAATAAAGTCCCCCAGAGAGTCTGACGATTCCTCCTGGAAAAGCAAGTGTGCTCCCTGGTGAGACACGGCTATGGGTGGGGGTACAGACCGCTGGCTCTCTTGCCAGCCTGTGCGTGGCAGCAGGCCACCACAGAGCTCCAGCTAGATGAAAGAGAATCCGGCTACAGGTGTGGGTGCCAGGGCTATGCAGACCTCTTCATCCTTGTTCCTAGGACATTCCTGGTGCTCATCACAGCCCAGTTGTTGGAGGTGGAGCTGGGTCAGCCTAGCCCCGCCCTCAGGGTGTGCAGCTCTGACAGTGGTGCCCACTTGTGGGTGAGTGCTCAGTGCCCTCTGCCCTGCTGTGGGTGCCGGCCTTTCCCTGAGGGCACCCTCTCCTTGGTAGTCTGGGAGGAAAGGTGTTGAGAGCAGGGCCACCTTATGAGCAGCTTTCCAACTCTCACTTCCAGCCTTTGAACTTCTTGCAACTTTCAGCTTTTTGGCTGCATTTCTTTCTGTTTCATAGTGAGTCCTGTTTGTGGGGAATGCAAGAAGGACACTATACTCTGTGCCATCCCTTAGCCTTCCCTCAATACTGCTTTCAGAAGCAGAAATGATGTCATCCTGGTAGGGTGGCCTCACTGTGGGCATGCCTGTCCTGCTTCTCCCCCTCCTACTGTGCCTCGAATTAGAGTCAAGACATACTCTCTTCCCACTGAAGGGAGTGGTACAGGTGGGCTGGGGCAAGAGGGGCTGGAAGTGTGGTGTTCTTGAAAGGTGGGACTGCTGGTGGTGGGCCTGTGGCCAGACTCATGTGGGCCAGCAGCTTTCCAGGGACCTTGCCTCTGGGAACAACAGTCTGGTCCAGGGGTGTGAGCAGAACATGACAGGAGCCTCCTGTGGTGCAGAGAACAGAAGCCATCCTTTAAATCAGTCATTGTTTATTGGCCTGAAATTTGATGATTTAAAACTTTGGATATAGAAATGAATAGGATATGGTTCATCTGGGGTTTGATGTATAATCCAAAGGGAAAGGGAGATAAAAGCACAGCTCCCCCCCCCCCCCATTAGACCTTTCCCCTGGGTCTTTCAACCCCCTAATACTGTAGGTGCACAGGCAGGAAAAGCAAGAACTACGTAAAGTGCAGTGCGGTGGCCACTTGGTTGTTAACTAGCCATTGCCTATGACAGGGACCCCTCACAAGGTGCCAGCACTGCCCTGTCACTCTGTTTGCTGATAGGGCAGCATGCCAGCACCACCTTTATGGTTCCTGGGCTTCAAGTTGGAGACCCAGACTGCCCGAGGTTTTCCATTTCTCCTGGAGAACAGATTCTCCGTTCTCTGGGTCAGCTATCTAGAGGGGTGTCTGCTTTACCATGGCACCTTAGTCTATTGGCAGCCCCAGGGGCCATCTTCCTCTGTTTTCTGAAGTAAGTAAGATAATAGGGTCATTTAGTAACTATGGGGACTGAATTCAGTCTAACTTAACAACTGCTGACTGGCTGCCTTCTCTGGCAAGGGTGAGGCATTTGGGCATTGTCCCAGCAAGATGCTCAAGGCACCTGGTGTCTCTGGATTGCTCCTGCTTCTGTGTTTCCACATACGACTGTTCTTGTAAAAGTTCCCTGTGCCCACCCCATTCCCCTGTTGGCAGCATCTTGTTCCATAGAGAATGCTGCCCTGACATATGTTTTCTTAGCATCCACCTCACTGAAACTGTGCAGAGGTGTCCTACAGGGGTTGAAATAGCAGCAGGTGGGAAAGGTGCGGATTAGCCAACTCTGCTCAGTTGCAAATAGTAGATGCCAACTCTAGCTTGCCCAGGCAAAGAGGAAAGTTTGTCATGTAAAGGAAGGGCTGCCTAGAACCCTAGGGTATGATGGGGCCTGTGAAAGGGACAGACAGGATAAGAAAAACCTTCCTAACTAACCTCCTGTGTGTCTGCACTTCTCAGCACACAAGCTGCACCATTTCAAATGCACAGGACCAGGGCTGGCATGGGTGGCCAGGCCCATGTCTGGTGAGGACAGTTTTACTTACCCACAGAGTAGCCCAGCAGGCCCCAGGCCCCAGGCCCCAGGCCCCGGGCCTAGCCCAGGGGGGATGAAAAGCTGATTGGCCTAACTTAGGATGTGTCTTTCCCCCTCCCTTCCTGGTGCCATAGAAGAGAGGAGCCTGTTGATTTGTTGTTTGGGCAGATGCCCCAAGAATTAACAACCGACCAGAGAAAAGAGCGGTGGTTCACTAACCTTCATTCATCTCATCTCGTATTTAGCCCAGGTAAAGAGGTCCCCTGAGCTGTTTGTCCTCCCGCGGCCAGAGGCTGAAAGCCACACCGAGAAGAATTAGCATGCTGTTTTCTCCCCAGCCTCCCCCAGAGGCTGTGAAACTAATCTTACTTTAAAAAAAAAATTATTTTTTTTTTAGAAAGAGAGAGGGAGGGCGAAATAGAGAGAGGAAAAAAAAACATTGATTTGTTGTTCTACCCATTCATGCATTCATCAGTCGCCTCTTGTATGTGCCTTGACCAGAGATGGAACCTGCAACCCTGGCACTTCGGGACTGTGCTTTAACCCAGCCAGCTACTTGACCAGGGCTATGAAACTAGGCTTAGACGCTTAAGTTTAGACCCTAAACTCAGAATGCTAGTGCTTTTAAGGAAGATGTAGTCACAAGGCTCCACTGGAGTTTGAATCAGGTGGCTGATGCCAAAGCAGCTGGTGGAAGACGGGGCTCAGGGGCGCTCCCGGGGGGCAAGCCTCCTCCATTGTTGCTGCTCCCCTGCTAGCATTCCAGACAGCCTTCAGCAAGTACCCTCAGCCCTCCTAAGACTCCAGAAGGAAGTGTTGGCCAACCCAGAAGAGGTTGTGCTGATGCAGGGGATTAAATCCCGGAGTATGCAACTTAAATAAGTGGATCGAGGAAGCCACAGTGACTGTATTAAGCGAGATGCATCGATTGTAATTAATAAGACTTTTTGGAAACTGACCTTTTAATTTCAAGTGGGTCTGCTGGTTAGAGATATCGTTTCTGTGGCTGCCTGAGGACTGGTTGGAACCTGTTGCGGGGGCAAGGGAGCCATTTAAGTGCTGGAGACAACAACAGAATTAGCAACAGAGCCCTGGGCATCAGGGAATCTGCCTTCTTCTGTGGGGTGTATGGTGATGGGGTGACTCTGAAGAGCTAGACCCTGTTTGGGAGAGTCCTTTTGGTGTACTTTTTTTTTTTAATGTATTCTGTAACTTCCATGGAACAGATTTTTTTTAAAAAAAACTTTTTTTAGAGTTTCATGGGCCCTGAATGGTGAGGTTCAGATGGTTGGGCATCATCCTCTAAAGTGAAAGGTTGCTGGTTTGATTCCCAGTCAGGGTACAAGCCTGGGTTTGCGGGTTTGGTCTGGGTCAGGGTGTGTATGAGAGGCAACTGATTGCTGTTTCTCTCTCATATCGATGTTTCTCTCCCTCTCTCCCTCCCTCCCTTCCCTTCTCTCTAAAATAAATAAGACATTTAAAAATAAAGAGTTTCATGAATCTGTGATAAGGGGCAGTCTGTTTAGAATCTGTCCTTCCCGGTCTGTGCCGTGTTTTTACCTTTGGAAATTTGGTGGTCACGCTCTTCCACCCCCAGCTGGGCAGGTCTAGCAGTGTCTCCTTTAGCATCCTCTCACCTCCCCAGGAATCCTAGAGTTAGCCAATTTTTCAGTCACACCCCAGTGTCTCCTTTCCACCCAGTTGGCCTGTGGCTTCTGCCCCATCCGCAACCCCAGGAGAGCTCTGCAGAGCAAGAGCAGGCAGGCCCACAGTGGCCTCTTCACGCCCGTCAGCTGTACATCACCGGGAATTGAGGTCCTCAAGGTCAGGGAAATGCCTGCACTTTAGGACGCGCCACAGAGCTGGGGTAGAATTTCTCTGGCTATTCTCCAAGGAAACGCTGCATAGGCTGCACTGAGTTTGGTGTGTTGTTCATGCTCAGCAGCACCATTGCAAGACCAGGGTGTTACCATCTGCACTGACAGCACTGGCAGGAGGAGGGGCCAAGTGGGCTTGGCCAGGGCTCTTGCATCTGGGTATAGGGGCACACTGGCCTCTGAGACAGCAAGCAGCTGGGCTGCTTGGGCTTTCAAGCCCTGGGACAGGCGGTGAGAAATGCTCCCTAACAGGCCTCTTATCCTCCCAGGCATGGGCAGATGCCTTTCGAAGCAGTCCTGACCTCACCGGCGTCGTGCATATATATGAGGAGCTGAAGAGGAAAGGGGTTGAGTTTCCTATGGCAGATTTGGATGCTCTGTCTCCCATACACACACCACAGCGGGTAAGCTTCCAGCTGGCATTTTCTAAAAAGACCTATGGCAGAACACGCAAGCCACTGCCACTGCCCTTCTGAGGCTTCATTTGAATTATTCAGCATGTCATCACGCCTTCTCAAAGCTCGAGGGCATTTCTTTTTAGTCACAAGGGGAATGCAGGAGTGAGACAGCTGGTTGACTGGGGATTAAGTGGCTGCAGCGTCTCCCCCATTTTCATACTGACTGTGGAAGAATAGAGCAGAGGAATCGGTTCAGACGTGTTCATGGCAGTGGCTGCTTGGGGAAGCCACTTTGTGAGGGTCATTAGCACCTGCTTTTCAGAGGCCCCAGGATCTGGCATGGGGGTGCCATCCTCTCTCTTTGAGAGCACCAGCAGGCCTCGGCAGTGCAGTGGCTGAGCTCAACTTGGAGGCAGGGCAGAGAGCTGCTTCTGATTTTTTCAGCTGTATGGGTTAACCAGGTAGATCTAAAAGGGTCCATTATCAAATGGATCTAAAATTTACTTTGTGATATGAGCATTCAGCATCAACCCATACATGCTTGGGATTCAAAGCCCATGAAAGACCCATTTAGAGGCCTCCCACTGAGGCTCCTGCCACATGCAGATGGAGCCCATCATCCTTTCCTGGGGAATCTGGTGTCCACCTCTGCTGGCTAGGAGTCGGCCCTGGCCTGGGGGAGAGCCAGGGAGCTCTGGGGCCTGGGAAAGGTACCTTGTCCCAAAGCACTCTGCCTTGCTCACCCTTGTTTGCCTGTCTCTGAACCAGGGCAAGAAGGACAGCATGCCTGTACAGGTTTCTTGAGTGAACACAGCTAATGCACAAGAGGTTGCTGGAGACGCCCACAGGGAAAGCCAAAGGGGCTGCACTTTCCAAAGCAGTATTCTTATTATGATCCCTCCAGACCACTTCCTGTGCTTTGTGGAATAAGTATGGCCTGTTTTATTCTTCTAAAAATGACACAGACCTACGAGGGGGAGACCCAAACAAAACCTGAATTTATAAGAAATTGTGTATTTATTCTTACATATTCAAACTTCAGTCACCTTCATAGTACCCTGCATTTGAGGCAATACACCTATCAAGACTTTTTCACTGCTGAAAAGTTTCTGAACTCATTGATTTTGATGCTTTTAGTGCTTCTGGTGTTTTTTGTTTCGTTTCTTCCACAGTGGCAAAATGTTTCCCTTTAAGGACTTTTTTGCATCTGGGGAAGCAAAAAATGTTGCTTGGAGCGAGATCAGGTGAATAAGGAGGGTTGTGGCACAGGAGTCATGCTGTTTTGGTCAAAAACTGCTAAATGCTCAGCGTAGTGTGGGTAGGGTGTGCTCAGAAATCACGTATCATGAAATGGGCAAATATGTTAAAAGAGTCTTCAAAAAAATTTCACTGAAGTGGAATGTAGCCTCTCACAACAACGCCAGCTGGTGCACTAATGCAGATGGGCTTCTAGAACACTCACTTAGCAGGGGAAGCCTGTACTACAAGGGGCCCACGCTCCAGAAGATAATTCTGGTCTTTTTGGGGTCCCCCCTTGTATGTTGTTTTTCCTGTAAGTACAAAGAACATTCAGTAAATTGCGTAATTGGTGTTTATATTACACTACTTGTAAAAGCCAAAACATAATCTTCTGATACCAAATAAGGATTCGTGCACAGCAAAACTTAATAGCGGCCCCGCCCACCAGGTCCCTTGGTGGTGCTCATATAGGGAACCCTGACCAGAGCCCTGTCAAAGCACCCTCACTACTGCCTTTGGAGTTGCTTTACGTACTTGGCTGCACAATGAGCAGAGCGGGGAGCTATTGGGAGCCCCCTCAGTGGAGAACCTGGGAGCAGAGGGCACCCTCCAGCATTGCAAGGCCACTATAGTGCTGGGCCCCCACCTATCTGTGGGCAGCTGTGTGGGAAGCACCTGCCGTAGGTGGGGTGGGTGCCAGGCCCAGCGACACAGGCAGCCTAGGTAAACAGAGGACTTTTGTTGCCATGCCAGAGTGTCCCTGAAGTGGATCCAGCTGCCACCAGGCCCAGGTCCCAGCCGCAGCAGAGGACCAGTTCCAGCTCCTACTCCTCGCCTCCTCCTGCTCCCTACTCTGCTCCGCAGGCCCCGGCGCTGAGTGTGAGCGGCCCCATCACAGCCAACTCAGAGCAGGTACTCACATCCTCCCAGGCCATAGGCACACAAGCCAGCCAGCCGTCCTCACCCACCCTTTCTGGGGACCACGCAGGGCCTCCCAGGCTAGGCACTGTGCTAGGTGTCGGTGACCCACAGATGGAAGGGCCAGCCCCTCTCCTGAGGACTGAGAGGCGAGGTGGGGGACAGGTGTGAAGACAGTCAGGAGAGTGTGGTCACACTGGTGCAGAGCGGTCTCCACATGTTCTGAGAGCAGAGCTTCACAGCCTCTGGCAGGCAGCCCATGGCACGGGACTGCTGAAGGTCTGGAAGTTGGAGCAGGGCCTTGTTTGGTGAGGTGTATTGGCAGGGGGCACAGAGTGTGGCGCTATAGCAGCAGGGGGTGGTTTGGAGGATGGGGGGTGGGGAGGAAACTGGGGCAGCAGGTGAGGCCAAGAGCACAGGAATAGAGTTCAGAGAGGATAAGACTTATCCCGTGAGGAAGGCCAGACATCAGCAAGGCCCTTGGCAAGGCCCTGCTTGTCTGTGGAGGCTGAGGTGGGACCCGGAGGCCTTCAGGAAGTGCCCTTCCTGCCTTTGTCCCATGCGCCTGCCTTTTTGAGTGCCTTCCTGAGAAGCTGCTGCCCTTTAACCCCAGACTGGCCTTTTTTAGATGGGATGTGAAGCCTGGTCTTTGGGTGAGTCTCTAGAATTTCCGTTAGTTAAAATTTGAGGATGGGTCAGACTTGGAAAAAAACTATACAATGTTTATACTTTTTAAATCCTTATTTAGTACCTCTGACAATGTCACTACTAGCAGCCTCATCTAATTACCAGGACATGCAATTCTGACGGGCTAGGGGAAGGGCTGTGCCAGGGCCCACCGTCCTTCCCTCACCCCTAGGCCAAGGAAAGACGTGGCAAGCAGAGGAGGAGCTGCTGCTCCCTGCAGTCAGCCTTCGCCCCTGCCACCCCTGTGGTACTGAACAGTCTTAGCCTCTTGAGGGGCAGTTGAGGGAAATGCACACCCAAGTGCTATGTGCACTGCTGAGGAGAGACAGGGAGGCCCAGCGTGTGTACATGGGGATCACATAAACTGGGCCTCGCTGCGCTGCAGGGCCTGAGACCTGGCCCCAAAGGGAGTTGTAGGAAAGAAGGCCTCTGGCTCCAGGCTCTGTTCCCCTGAGCAGAACTGGGCCACCCTCTCCCCAGAGTGAAGATGAACATGTTGCAAACAGGGTGGCCACTGTGCCCCTCCGCTGACTTGCATTCAGTGCATGGGAGCTCAGGAGGAGTTCTCCCCACAGCCAGAGCAGGTGATGTGAAGTGTTGGGGGTGGACGAGAGGGTGTGAGTACTGACTGCCCTGGGGGAAGGAGGCAGAGGCAGGCAGGGAGCCAGCTGCGGAGCCACCAGGTTTCTCATCGCCGCAGTGCGGGGCTTCCTTGGCCACAAACCTCTCCTCAGCAAGACGTGGGCCCCCACCCTTCAGGAAAGCCAGAGGCAGAGGGGAGCCTGTCATCCTGTTGACCAGAAAGGCCTGCCAGAGGAGGGAGGAGTGCTCGGCACCTCAGGGAGGGCTGGGAGAATCCGGGAAGGCTTCACTGTGGACGAGGGTCACATGCAGTTAAAGCGATAGCAAAACCCCACTGTTTGGATGCTGCAGCAGTGTTTGGCATGTGCGTGCCAACTCTGTGTGGATATTCTCACGTCAGTTACTCACAGCAGCCCTGTGAGATAATGGGTATTATCATCGCCTTTCTAAGGTGAAGAAACTGAGGTCCAGAGAGTGTAAGGCTTATTCTTATTGTGTTCCTGCTGCAGGAGAGACGGCCCAGGCCCAGGCTTTGGGGAGCTCTGTTGGGTGGGCAAGTTGGGAAGCTTTCAGGGGTTGTGTTATCCTTTGGTAGGGAATCTAGGAGGAGTGGGTCTCCCTGTAGTCTTCTCCCAGTCCCTCTCCCTCACTCTTGCCACACCAGGAAAGTGTGGTTAACACTGGCCAGCCTCTCAGAAGACCATAGCAGTTAGATTAAAAACTGCTAGGAGCTGGAGCCTATAACTCTTCGGTTCCTCAGCAAGGATCCCAATTCTGAAGGGGACTGAGGGATCACACATTCCAACCTTCACTTGAAAGAGCAGAGGCAGAGCCTGTGAGAGTAATTCCCTCCTCAAGGTCCTGTGATGGGAGAGCTGAGACTGTAGACCAGCTCAGTTCGCTTTGCACCCAGCATGCTGTGCCTGCACAGTGCTGCCTCAGTGTCCTAGGCAGAGTCCCTGTGCTCTCGGGGGCCTCACTTCCCCCATCAGCATCCTGTAGGAGCTGCCAACCTCCTTACATGCAGACCAGAGGGAAATGAGAAGGCTTCGCTGCTGCACTCATTCAGCAGTATGACCTAGGTGTCATTGTGCATGGACCTGTCACCAGGCAGGAACAGGTGACTGACCTTTCTTTCTTGCTTTCCTCTTCCTGGCCCTGACAGATCGCCAGGCTGAGGAGTGAACTGGACATTGTCCGTGGAAACACGAAAGTTATGTCTGAGATGCTAACGGAAATGGTGCCTGGGCAGGAAGACTCGTCCGATTTGGAGTTGCTCCAGGTAAGAGGCCTCACCCTGTGGGAGCCCTGGGCCCCGGGAGGCAGCAGAGTGGGAGGGACCGAGACTGGGTAGGCTGGGCCCAGCCTTGCACCGGCAGAAACAGCCAGAGGCTGGTGCCAGGCTCTCTCTTGTTTTATTTTCCTTAATAATATTTTTTCCTGATTACAAAATGCCAGTTGCAGAATAGATGCCCATCTAAAGAAAAGGAAGTTCAAAGGAGAAAATGATAATTTTCTTTAATGCCAGCATCCACAAATTACCACGGTTGATGCTTTGAGGTATTTTCTTTCAGATTTTTTTTCTGTTTATCCAAATGTAATTGAGATGCTCTGATACTATACATATGATTCTGTACATTACTTTGCTCCCTCAACACCATTGAATGCCGTGCACATTTGCAATGGGACTCCAACCTCTCCTGTACATGGGAACCAGCTACTCTGAGACTGAGATGAAGCTGAAGCTCTTTTTCTATTCCCAAACACAGAGGATTCCCAGGCCAAGGCTGCTCATATAGGAGCTCCCGGGGCTCTCTTGCTAATTGGACACAGTGCAGGTCCAGAAGCATGGCAGTAAAGAGTCCAGGAGCAAGGCTGGCCTGTGGGGATGCACTCAGATTAGAGCCTGCTTCCCAGGCCAGCCAGCCCCACACCAGCGGCCAGATCTCCACCACACCCATCCCAGAGGTCTGTGGCCTTTGTAGAGAGTACCAGCAGCTCTTCCCTTAGAAGCAGTGACCTCGGCAGGGGATGAAGAAAGGATTCTCTGCACTCCCAAGTGCCAGATCTTTTCAGTGGGAGGCAAGATACTTGAGTAAACAAATCAGGAGCCAGACTGGCCTGGCGCACTGGCAGGAGTCCTCAGGGCTTGCCTTCCGTTGCTATTCTTGCCTGCACTCGGGGCTGTCAGCCCCAGCCCCTCTGGGCCACACCTCCCACCCTGCTGTTGGCACATACTTGCTGCCTGGGAAGGCTCGACTCTGATGGCCCTGTCCTTTAGGCACACACACTGCTGAGTGGCTGCTCCTGGTCTTGAGCTGTTTTGTGTCATGCCCCCTCTATCCTCTGAAGCCATCGGCTCCTGAGGCGAGAGGATGGGTGGAAGCCTGTTCTGGGCCTAACACAGAGCAAAGCCCTGGAGGCCCACAGGTACACTGGCTGAGATCCCTGCTCTGGAGGAACTCACAGCTTAGTGTGGGAGATAGGAGAACAGCTCATCTCCACGGCACTGTGTAATTGGGCTGCTCTTGGAGCCAGGGTGCACACCGGCTGCCAGCCCCACCCTGGTTCCCAAACCTCACCCTGATTCCAGCAGTACACCAGGCTTGCCTCAGCTGAGCAGGTCCAGCTGTCCACATGCCACACTTCATGGGACCCAGCATCCTGTCAGTGTGTTCTCAGCCTCCACTCCTAGCCTGCAGTGGGGGTTCTTCTGGGTGTTACCTGAGGTACTGGGATCTGAGATGAATCTGAAAACAGCATAGAAACCGAGAGGGCTTCTCAAAGCAGCTCTGTGCTTTGTCAGCATGAGAATTCCTGCTGACAAGGGGCTCACAGTGGACAGGACAGAGCTTCTGGCAGCAGAGAGAGGCTGAACAAAGCCAGCGTGCTTCCAGACAGCCAGGGCAGACCCAGACAGCAAGGGTGCTCTGTGTGTGCACGTCAGAGTGTGTGTGTGTGTTTTAAAACAAACGCATCAGCCAAGACAAACAGAACCTAATCTCTGGGCGTCAGCTCACAGTTTTCAAAAATAGGTTGCTTCCCATGACGTTTTCCTTCCCTCTGTTTTGTTCCAACTCTGAGCCTACCAGCCCACACTGCTGTCTTATAAATCAAGCAGGAAAGAACAGTGCTGGGGACCAGCGGGAGGCTGTCCTTTCAGCCTGGAAGATTCAGGAGCCAGGCAGCTCTGTGTGAACACACGCTTCCCTGGCTGCCGGCCTCACTCTCAGTCATTTCTGTTGTCTCCTCTTCTTTCTCCCCCATCAGTCAGAGGGCAGCTGGGCAGGGTCTCCAAGTGTTGAGGCCAGACTGAACAGTGAGCCTTCCGCATGGGAAAATGGCACAGTCGCTTGGAAAGTGACAGGATCAGAATGTGCCCCAAGGACCCCTCAGTCGAGTTGGAGGGCAGCCAGACTGCTCAGAGTAGAAGCTGTCTAGAGAGCTCACAGTGCTGGCCAGGGCCACGGAAATAAACACTTTTGTCACCAACCCAATTGTTCATACCAACAAAAGCTGCTCCTGTCTTGAGTGTAAATTGCTGGGTGGGAGGTGGAGGAAATGGGAAGAGAGGAAATTGTAGGTGTCAGCCCCGGGATGCACTGGTGTGACCAACCACAGTTATGGGTGGGTCATGTCCCCATTGTTTCCTGCAAGTCACAAAGCACTTTCAGGTGCAGCCTTGCCACAGCCCTGCAGAGCCACGGAGAAGCTTTCTGGGAAGAGCAGTTTGCCTAAGGACTTTGGGGGGTAACTTGTGGTTGAGGGAGGCTGAGGCTTCTCCACTATACTGTGTTAGCTTAGCTGGAGCTCCAGGGGAAAGTGAGATGGGAGCCAGCAGCCCCTCTCAGCGTGTGGAGCCCTTTGCTCCAAGTTGGGAGAGACCTTGCAGGCAGCTGGTCCGGCTCTACACTGTGCTGTGATTCCCCCGACAGCAGTTTGCCTGCCTCATTTTCCTTAACATCCTCAGCAACAAGCTGTTCAGGTCAGCCTGTGGAAGGAAGCACGTTATTTCCAAACACACCTGTTGGCTGGACTTTGGAAGGCAGCACAGCAGTGCAAGAAAAGCAAGGGCCAAGGAGTCCATGGTTCGTGTCTAGGTCCAACCATTTGTGGACAATACCAGCAAGTCCCCTACCCCTAGGAGGTCAGAGTAATCAGCACCACCAGGGAGGAAGACAGGAAACTGTCTATTTCCAGTGCTAGCTCAGGGCCGGACACAGGCAAGTCCTCTGCAAGTCGGAGCTGCTGTAATTATATCCAGCACGTCTCCCTGTAACTGCTGCCCTGGTCTGCCTTCTTGAACAACAGTAGAAAACAAATTTCTCTTTCACATGGTAGGTCCTTAAACATTTGAAGACTGCCCACAGCCCAGTTGCTGTGTGGCACAGATGTGGCTGTGGGCAGCCCATCTTGTAGGTAACCAGGCAGTTCTCAGCAGGAGACATCCACTGAAAACCCTGCATCTCTCTCTCATATGGCTGCTGAGCTGCGTCTGCCCCATCCTGTACATGGCCGAGTGGGGATGGGCCTACAATAGGAGATTCTGCATCCAGGTCTGCTGAACTTCACACCCTCAGCTGCAGCCTGTGAGTCGAACCTTCTGGAGTCTAATGATCCCCATGCTGTCATTTGGTACCTCCTGTCTCTTTCAAAGTAGCTTCTTGAACTTTGTTTTTAATTAATAATAACTTTCAATTAATTCAGTGATGCCAAAACTTGGTATGCCTCTATGACCACCCATCAGATAAGAAAAGAAGAAACCTTCCTGCATGTTGTTTCTTCAAATAGCAATTGGAAGGTATCTCCCCTTCTTGCTGCTTTCTTCTTGTATCTCATTTCAACTAAAGACTGGAAGTCCAGGCCATTTTATTTCTCTAGAGAAATCTAGTTTATTCTCCACATTTGGTTTCATTGTTTCCCCTTTCTCTTCAACAGAGAGTTTTTCCTCTCCCGCTCCTCCTTTGCAGCTCTAGGAAGCAGACCTTCAGGACCTTATTCCATGCTCCTTAGAACGTGGAGAAGGTTCAGAGGATGCCCATCATGATGGTTCACAGGTTGTTTTATGAGGTGGGGATGTGAGTGTACCTGGAAGAAGAGATAAAGGCATTGGGAGCTAGTTATTAGAAAAGAGGAGATTTTAATAAGATGTGCTGATAGACAAAGGGCTTTTGCACAGGCAAAGGAACGAGCTGTTCTCCCTCTCCATTGAGAACCAGACACAGGAGGCCAACACTGAAATCGTCAGCATTAATGAGCTTCCCGTCCCAGCTGCTGCCCAGTGGGAAGGGCCACCTGGGCCAGCAGTTAGCTCTCAGCATCCTCTGGTGGGGGAGAGTCACTGTCTGGAGGTGTGGAGGTGGGGGCAGGGCAGAGGAAAGCCCACCAGCTGTGCCTGCCATGGTCTGGCTGTGGGTGGCCCTGGGAAGGCCGGGCATGCTGCTAGCTGGTGTTCATGGTGGCAGAAATCTTAACGTTGTGGTCCTCTTCTCACCTCTGATCTCTTTGTCTTTTTCCTTCTTGTTTAATTATATTTTAAGACAATAACTTACCAGGTTAAAGCATGGAGATGGTAAAGCTTCCTCTCTGCAGAGCTCTCTCTAGAGGTCCCTGAGTCAAGTAGCCCCAGACCGGCGCTCTGGGTGCCCCTCTGCTGGTGGGGTCAGGGTTGTTTCCCCTGCACCCCTACCACCGAAGGCAGCACACATAAGGCTGAAGCAGATGTTTCTCGGGCTCACGCTCCATGACATTGCTGCTGCATTCCGTGCCCTAGGGTCTCATTCCTCCTCCAGGGTTAGGGCTAGCAGAGGTCTCAGAGGCCATCCACCATTTCCCAAACATGCTGTCCAGTATTAAAACCCATTTCTCCGCAAATACAATACTACAGAGAACCCAAAATGTTTGGAATGGGTAAAAGCAGAGCCATCCTGACTGACATAGGGTGGGATGCTACCACCCCCATGCCATGAAGCCACCTCAGTGGCCCTCTGCAGAGGTTTGCCATTTCTCTACCCCCTTGTGCCCATGGAGAAACAGGCCCAGAGAGCTGACATGGGTAACTAAGCCAGGACTGCGATGGGGAGCTGGGTGTTGGGCAGACCGAGGGTTCAGGGCACTTAGGAGTCAAAGCCCTCATCCTCTTATCTCCTGCCCCAGCCCAGCTCTGACCTCCCCTTCCTCTGCATCTCCACTGCTGGGGGACATGTTACCACCCATCTGGGCTGGGCTGACCTGGCCAGAGTATAGCTAGTATCTGAAGTACCAGGTCGGGGGGTAGGAAGAGAGGGGTTATGAGTATCCAGTGATTTGCTAGAAGCTTTCTATTTCCAGGGAGGACCCTGCCTTCTCCAAACCTTATAATGATAATCATAGGAGAACCAAGAGTGAGAATGTTTGAAGAAAAACCCAGGAGGCCCAGGCATGGGGCTTGCCATCCCTGTTGACCAAGAAAGACTAACAGCTCCATTCTGGTTGTGCAGAGGACTAGCAGCGGGGCAGAACCGAGATGAAGGGCAGTGTTTCCATAACCGGAGAGATGGAGCCCAAGGACCCAGCAAGCCAGAGAATCTCCAAATGAAACAATTATGGCTTTAGGGTGAACACCAGGCTCTCATACCCAGCTGCCTAAATCTAGATCCCTTGTGTCTTAAAAAATGCAGCTATACTGGGGTGATTCTGGGCTGCCCCACTTGGTCAGCTGTCCCCACTCCCCAGGAAGGAGCCCCCACAGGCCGAGCAGCCATGGGAGAGTGGCCGCAGAAGTAGCATCCAGACCTGTGTCTGGCAGACCATGATCCACTTCTGCTGTGGGGGGCGGGTCAGTCAAGCTTCTGTCTTGCCCTTACCTGCAGGATCCAGTCTGGGGTGCTCATCACCCTTCAGTACTGAATACCTAATGGTGTCCTAAAGCATAATCCTGCTGCTGCTGGGAGTGTAAATAAATGGATTTCAGGTTTTTGAAGGGTCCTTTACCAATCAATTTTCTAAATGACCATACCCTTTCCCCCAGATATCTCACTGCTAGGAGCTCATCCCATGCAGGTGCTGGTGCAAATGTATAAGCATTTATGTATACAGGTGTCTGCTGCTGTATTAAATGAGTCAGCCAAAAAAGAGAGACTGCAACCTAAATGCCCCAAAATAGAAGAATGTTGCGGTACATTATAACACACACACACACACACACACACACACACACACGGATGAGGCAGTCTGTATGAAGTGATGGGCAAAGGTGTCCAGAATATTCTGTTGAAGAGAAAAGGCAAGCTGCAAAGAATAATACCTTATATTTTAAAAGTGCTTTGTATAAACATGTACTTCAGGATACCTGACAGTCTGTAGGTGTGGACGTTTGTCTGTCAGCTGAGGAAGAGCTACTCTCCCCTGGAGTTCAGAGTGGGCAGTGAGGGAGGCCTGCTGCCCCATGTCCCACACACGCCTGCCTTTGTGGACAAGAACATACTTCTGCTGTGACTTTTAAGAAGTAATACACATTTTCCTGAAAGAAATAGAATGTGACAAAAAGCACAGCCAGCAGGTGGCCAGAGGTATGTGTCCCCTAGGAGCTGAACAGGACCTGCCGGGCCATGCAGCAGCGCATCGTGGAGCTCATCTCCCGCGTGTCCAACGAGGAGGTCACTGAGGAGCTGCTGCACGTCAACGACGACCTCAACAACGTCTTCCTTAGATATGAGAGGTAGGGGCCGGCTCCTCTTCCCCTGGGAAGGGTTATCACTGTGACAGAGGGATTTCTTTCATACACAAAAGTAAGAGCGAGATTAGGTTTGGAAAATACTCATCATAGATGCTAATTTGTCCCCAGATGGCAGGGAAAATGCTCCTGTGCTCCGAGGAGCACAGCAGTAGGAAGGTGACTGCAGAATGAGGCTCTCCCTTTTGTGAGCCTCAGGCTACTCTGCCTCTCTCACCAGCCCACCCCCTGGAGTAGGGGGGGCACCTGGAGGCCCTGGAGCTTCTGCACCTACTTCTTTGAAGAGCCTTTGCATTTGGAAAGGATTAAAGGGAAGAAAATCTCTACTAAAGGAAAAAGGTTTTTTCATCCTTAAAAAGAGAGGTTTTTTTCCCCCTTCCTTTTCAGACATTACTGCACGTAGCGTGTTCAGCAGCAGGCAGGGCATGCGTGCTGGCACGCAACTGCGGAGGGAAATACACATTCATTCAACTCTTTCCTCAGCCAGATCATGTCTGGGTTTGAGGTAACAAACTTGTACATTTTTTTCGCTTTCAAAGCCTCCCTCCAGAAAATGTGCACAGCATCTGACTCAGATGCACTGTTCAGAGGGAGATGCAACATAAGCTCATGTCCATCCCTCCCTGTGGTGGCCACCTCTGGCTTTCCGGGGTCACCTGACCTGAATCACCCAGTGTCAGCCCAGCAGGTATCTTGACCAGGACAACCTTTTCCTTCTAAGTTTAAGCCCCAGGCCCCCTGGAGACTCAGAGTCCTGCCCCTTGCTGACTCAGGGCATGCTAGTCTGGTGCCAGTTAAGGTCAGCATGTTAGGTACTCATTTACATTGGGATCTTACAGGATGATTTTCCTGTAGCTGTCATAACCCTGGGCTTTATCTCAGTTTTACCTGTGGCAGTAGGGAAGGGTGGCCTTGTGTACACCTGGCAGGTGAAGAAACCTCTGCAGGAAGAACGTGGGGCCACCTAGGGGTGTGCTAGCCAGAGAATAGGAACAAATCTGAGGTGCCTTGACTCCCAGCCCAAAACCTCTTGGTCTTGCCATGTGCTTCCATTTCTCCACTCTAAATGGGCTTGACTTTTAACCTGTTAGACCCATCTTAGCCCTTTCTAGAATAGGATGACAGGAGCTAATGTGGGCATTTTCAATCAAGTGGGCCAGTCCCAGGGTCACCACAAATTTGGAATTGTAGCCTAAGGCCAGTGGCCCTGCAGTGCCGCCCTGGCTGAGTGGTATGGGAAAGGCACTCTAGGATGAGAAACCCTTTAGATGTGTTAATACTCCTCCTTATAGACAGAGGAGTCAAACTCATATTCACCAGAGGCCACATCAGCGTTGAGGTTGCCTTCAAAGGGCCGAATGTAATTTTAGGACTGTATAAATGTAACTACTCCTTAACTGTTAAGGAGCTGAAATTGCATTCGGTCTATAATATAGACCATGGTTGGGGAAAAACCACATAAGTCTCTTAAAACCACAGCCAGTGCACACATCCTAGCCAGATTGTTCCTTGCAGAGACCCCCTGCCCTGCAGGCATGTCCCCAGCACGAGGGAGCCCAGCATGAAGCAGTGGATCCCAGGGAAGGGGTTTTTCCAGGGTCCAGCTGCAGGACACCTCTTAGCTACCTCTTTGCCTCTGGCATTTGGGAGTTTTTAAATGTGACAGCAGCCCATAGACACCCTCACAGTTGTTCTCCATCCCCCACCCTGCATATAAATAATGTGGATAAGAGAGATAAGGGTCCCTGCAGCTACTCCGAGCAAAGTCCCATCCTTGGTCAGTCTGCAGCCAGCAGGCTGGGGGCTGGGCCTGGAGACCTGCTGGCAGCCCCTCCTGGGAATCCTTTCACCAGGCCAGAGGCCTGTGCTTGCCTTCTTCTTCCAAGTGCCTGCCTTCTGGGAAATAGGGCTTGGTGCCTGATTTTGCCCCCAGCTAAATAAATGATTGGCCCACCTCCCTCTCCAGTGACAAGAGGGACACCTGGGCCAGGGCCTGAGGGAGGGACAGCTGGAGGTGCTTCTAATGGTACCCTCCTTACCTCACATCAGGGTGCCCATGGGTAAGGCTGGGTGGCCGGTCCTCCTTGGGAGAGCCCCACCCAGGAGAAGGCACAGTGAAGTGTGTACACCGGTCTGTTCCCCCAGCCCCCAAAACAGACCTGGTTGTTCTCCTTTCCTGGAACCTCCATCCCCAGAAGCTCCTCACAGGATCTGTGAATGTCACAGTGCCTCCACCCTCCTTCCTCATTCTGCGCTTCCTTCCCGGTAGGTTCGAGCGATACAGGTCTGGCCGATTGGTTCCAAATGCCAGTAATGGAGTAAGTATTCCTTCAGAATTTTCTGGTCTCTGGAACCCAGAAGCTGCCTCAGTTTGATCGCACCTCTGTTTTTTCTACTGGGTTTAAATATTTGGTTAACTGAATAGCAAGCTCTGGTTGCTGGGACGCTGAGCAAGAGCTAGCAGGCACATCCCCGGGGCAGAGGTGGCAACGACGCCCTGCCCTGTCCTGGTGACTGACTCAGCCCTGTATCCACTGAGTGGGTGAAGGGCTCACCAATAGCCCAGACCCACAGGGGACCCCTGATGTCAGGGTGAGGGACACACCTTGCTCCTATATTGGTACAGTGCTTGGACCCTACATGATGCCTGCGGGCTTTGCTCTCGGAGACCGGCACACACAGGCTCTGGAGCCCACTGCCATGTAATACTCCAACAGGTGCTGAACGAAGTGACCGAAGACAACCTCATAGATCTGGGGCCGGGGTCTCCAGCCGTGGTGAGCCCAATGGTGGGGAGCACGGCACCCCCATCTTCCCTCTCATCCCAGCTTGCTGGCTTGGGTGAGTATCTTGTAGGGGCATAAGTGACCTCCTTCGTGGGCTAATTCCTGGTCAGGAGGCTGGGCTGAGGCCCCTCTCCCTCTCTTGGTTGGAAGGCCTGAAGAGAGCCTTTTGGGGAGTCCATGGGAATGTCTCTCCCTGAGTCCTGGCCCATTGTGCCACCTTCAGTTCATAATTTCTCTATCTAAACTTTAAAGTTTAAACTGATGTTGGAAAGCAGGGGTTGGGGAGTCCCAAGGAACAGGAAGTTGTTTGCCTTTAAAAGATAGATGGCTGCTGTGTTTTATCTGGAATATTCCTTATGGTCAAAGTGATTTCCTTCTCAATATCAACTAGGCCAAAGATGGCAAATAAGCTTCAGCTCACTGGCTGCTTGGAATGCAGGTCTAAGAAGGATGCTGAATTCTCTTCAGGGCTTGGAAGAGGAGTCTATGATTGACTCGTGGTGCCTGCCCCAGGCTTGGCAACAGGAAATGACGGCACTGAGATGCTTGCTGTCTTTGACCTGGCATGAGCCCACAGTGTTCCACTGTCTGGAAATGCAAACCAGAAACACGGCCCTTCCACAGTCACTCCGTTTCAGAGTGTCTGTGACGAGGTGCTGCAAGTGCACAGCGTGATGCCAGTGTTCAGCCCGGTTATGGTATTGAAATAACAAGCGTGGCCCTCTCAAAATTCTTTCTCCTACCTTTCTTATTGCTTAAGGTTTGTCTGTATACCTTCATTTAATTTCAGTTGAATTGAGCTTTTATTTCTGGCTTTTGAAAATGTCCTGTCTGTGCCCTGTTTCTCTGCCTGTCATCCATCCAGCATATGGCCACCGGATTTAACATCCAAAGTTCAAATTGAATTATGCTGCCTCCCTTCTTTAAAAAGGTCCAGTGTTTTTTCCATCAGCTCCTTTTCCTGGTGTTGGCCACCTCACACCTGCCTTTCCAGCCTCCCCCCATGACCCCTGCTCACACCACACACCGTGGACTTCCAGGCGCTGTGCCTCTGTCCCTGCCTGCCCCTTACCTCTTCTTCCCAAAGCATAGTCCCATGTGTCCTTAGAGACCCATTCTGTGTCAGTTTGGAGTCTTTTCCAATATCTCAAGCTAAGTACACTGTTTTCTGTCTCCCGCCAACTCTGTGCACTCCTTGAGGCCAAGGGTCACATCAAATTCAATCTGGTCCACTCAGGCTCTAGTTCTGAACATGCTGGGCACCTGAGAAATATTTGACAAGTAACTAAATGGCCCAGACACTGTGATTGAGTTGAGGAAGAAGCCCCTGATACGGGCATTCTGAGGGACCTGAGGGACACTGGTCCCAGGCCCCACCCCCGACTGCCAGCAGTCTCCTTATCTTTCATAACGGTCTTCCCCTACTTCAGAGCTGCGGGGGGGGCAATCAGTGGGGGTTCTCCATCTGGTCCTCACCCAAGGCTCCTCCTGTATGTGGTAGCCTGGGAGTGTTGAGGAATGTACAGTGTCCCCTTTTCTGCCCCTTACCTGCTACCCCTAGAACTTTAACCTGCTGGACTGGCGTCCTAACTTTGGGACCCTTCATGAAGTATGTGTTTCTCATTCTATTCTCATCCTCCCCTTGTTTGTTTTTTTGCCACAGACTTGGGGACCGAGAGCGTCAGTGGCACCCTCAGTTCACTCCAGCAGTGTCACCCTCATGATGGCTTTGACATGTTTGCCCAAACAAGAGGGAACTCCTTGGCCGAGCAACGCAAGACGTATGTGGGGTCATTTCTGTGGCTCTCAAAAGATGGTAGGGGAGGCCTGATCCAGGCCTGGCCACAGCCAGCACAGAGAGGCCTGCTTATCAGGCCTGGGGCTGCACAAAACTTGGAAATGGCGGCTCTGAGGACTTGGCAGTTGACATGAATGTTGGCTGAAGGCCAGCCTTGCCTGCTTGGGGGTCGGTTGTAGTAGAGTTTCTTCTGTTGGTCACAGGAGAGCACCCTGCTGCTCCCCCTGCTTCTGCCGCTGCTGCGGAAACCTCATCTGAAGGAGGGGCCAGGAGCAGGAGATAACAGCCAGGCAGGGACTGAACTGGGTCCTAGCAGTGAGGCTTTCCTACCCAGGGGTGTGGGTGGAAGCTTCCCTGATAGCAGCTCTGGCCAGGGCAAACCATGTAGAATTGAGGGATTTATTCCAAAGTAGACAATCCCTGCATGTCAGGGAGGCCCTGGAACAGGCTTGGAGCTTTCCGATCAGCCTGTAGGCAGGTTAGGAATGCTTTTCCCAACCTTTCCCAGGGGCTCAGCATCGATGCATTCAGCTTTCTGAGTCCTGTGCTCCAGAATCAGTAGGTTGACCAGAAACCCAAGGCCCCATGTACCCTTGATGAGCAAAAGTTGCTTTTGAAATGGATATGGTAAAAGGGGGCAAGGAGCAAAGGAAGACAACCATCAGAATCAGTGACAGGCCCCAATCCCGGACCTTCCTTGTCAAATGCCACTGAGGCTGCTGCCTTCTAAACAGGAAGGAATAACACTTTGCCTAAGATCTCACGCCTCACTCTGAGCTGTCTCAGGGCACCCTGATACCTTGTCACTGAGCTTTAGAGACGCTGTCATGTTGCCATGAGAGTAATGTGGAGGCACATGGCGTTCCAGCCCCGGAGGAGACAAGCAGCTGAGCTGGTGCTGGGACCCGGGCAGGCCTCCTGGTTTTGGCGGCAGAGAGGCGAACAGATGAGCCCTGGCCTCTGCCCAAATGCCAAGGACTGTGCCTCTGGAGGACTGACTCTGCTTGTGCTGCTTCGTCTCCAGGGTTACCTACGAGGATCCCCAGGCTGTTGGAGGACTTGCCTCTGCCCTAGACAGTCGGAAACAGATCTCCGAAGTGGTAGGTCTGAAACCCTGTTTGTCTGGCTGGAGGCCTCTGATGGTGAAGTCAGGCAGTTTGATAAAGTTGGCTGGATAACATCACAGCGGCTGGCTTACATAGAGGGTGGGACACGCTGGGGAAGACTGGGATGAGAAATTGTTAACCACATCAAGTCCTCACCCTACCCACCCCATGGTGACACACAGATCAGCTTTCCCATGACACCCGAAAGGAAACAGGCTCCCAGCGAGCAGACAGCAGGCAGAGGTCCACACCTAGGAGGTCTGACCCCAGGATCCTACTCTCCTTCTCGTGGTGGTGCTGGGCTCTCAGGGCACAGGTCTCCTGTAGCCAGACTAGGTCTTTCCTCTCAGATACTTCAGTGCTCTGGGGTGGGCAGTGCTCTCACAAAACAATGACCTTATCAAGATGGGGAATACGGACCCAGCCACGGCTCTGCTGACCACGGGTAGCTGGCTAAGAGGAGCATTTCCCACCTCATCAGAGGGGAGCTGATGGTCAGCATTTGTTTGGCAAGCTGGGGTGAAAGGCATGGGAGGAGCAGTTGGGGGTGGCCAGGAAGGTGTCCCTGAAAGTTGCTTGTCTGGAAGGAAGACCGCAGCTGCTGGCAGAGGTACTTGGAAGTGGAGGGAGGTGTTAGAGACCCAGATGCACCCTGGTTTCTGCAGGATTTCAGATCATCGCAGGGGAAAGGATTTGTGTTTCAATGCTTCTCCTGCAGTTGCTCCCCTTTTGCCTAAGAAGTGGGTGTGGCAGTGTTTGAACTAATGCTTGTTTGCAGGGGTGGGAGGGGCGGGGACTAGAACTCATTTCAAGGCCGCCCAGCCCTACTAGAAAAGGGCAGTGGTCCTCTGTCCACTGGATGGGGAGGTCGGCCTGCAGCAGCCCCTGTCCACATGGGCCCAGGAGGCAGCAGTGCTGCAACCTGTGCTCCTTGAGAAAGCTTGTGCCAGGGAGGACTGGGACCCCTCGCCCTCCTTTCTTGATAGGAAGGCTCTGCAGCCCTGTGCGCTGGCCACCAGGGGGCACAGGAGAGCCAGCCCAGTGGCCTTGGTCTCTCAGTACCCCGCCTTTCCACAGAAGGGTGGGCAGTGCCACCCGAGGCTGGGAATCCTAGAATTTGTGCATTGGCCATGGTTCTGGTTCTCCCATTACTTAGAATGTCCTCCCACCTAATCCAGGAAGGGCGTTTGGGAGCCAGGCTGAGAGCCCACCAGCACCCTGCCAGATGAGGGCATCCCTCCGCCTGGCCCCACCTGGCCAGCTGCCCCACCCTCCACCAGGCTGACACGGTTTGCTTCACTCAGTCTCCAGGACCTGCATGTCCGTGCCAGTGCTGTCCTACCACACCTTTGCCATGGTCAGTGTCCACGCCTGGGTCCGAGCCCAGGAGACAGGACTGGCTACCCACCTTCACCCTCTGGGTGTGGCTTGGCCGGTCTCCGTTGTCAAAGGTCTTAATGACTCCAGCATGTTTTCCATATGATGGTGGACAGGTGCTTTTCATTTTTATGGCTGAGTGAGGCGGTGCGGGCAAGCAGGGTTTGTGTAGGCTGTGTGTGTCTGTATGTATCTCTTTGTGCCTGTGTCTGTCTCTGTGACCATGTCTTTGTGTGTGTGTGTCTTTGTGTCCACGCACCTGTTTGTGTGTGCATGCGTACCCCTGCATGTGTCTCTGTGTGTCTGTGTGTGCCTGTGGGTCTCTGTGTCTGTGTGTATATATCTGTCTGTCTCTGTTGTGTCTGTGTGTCTCTGTTTATCTGTGTCTGTCTCTGTGTCTCTCTGTGTCTCTCTCAGTGTCCCTGTGGGTCTCTGTGAGTCTCTGTGTCTGTCTTTGTTGTGTCTGTGTGTCTCTGTCTGTGTATCTGTGTACTCACACTTACTCACATGCATCTTCAGGTTATGCTGTTCCATGTACTGAAACAGGCTGGCCTGGAAATGGAAACGGGGTCAAGAGAGAAATTAAGAGTACAGTTAGGGGGTGTTGTATAGCCACACCTCCACAGTGCAACCAAATTCATTCGTTTTAACTTTAAATACTTCTGTCATTTTAAAAAGAAGGTGCTCTGGCTGGGTAGGTCAGTTGATTGCAAGTTTGGTCCCCGGTTGGGATACATACAGGAGGCAACTGATTGCTGTTTCTCTCTCCCCCTCTTTCTGTCGCCCTCTCTCTCCCCTTCTGTCTCTTTCTAAAATCAATAAACATGTCCTTGGGCAAGGATTAAAAACAATTGTTTAAAAAGGTAATATACCCAAATTCAGAGTTTAAGAGTTTGGAAAAAGAACACATGGGTAACTGAGGAGGGAAAAGGGAAGAAAAAGCAAATGTAAGATAGAAAAAAGTAGAAATTATTTTGTAAAAGCTGGTCCTTTGATAAGCTGGCCTTTTGCCCACCCCGGGAGCCCATGTGGGGAGAGGCTGCCCGGGGCAAGCTCTGTGGCCTTGCGAGGGTTTTCCCAGTGCATGGGAGCGGGAGCCTGAGTGTATGTGGCCCTGTTGCGATTCTCGGTTACTAAACTTCTGTTTTCCAGGTAGGTGAGGGGGGCATGCTGGGGGGGGGGGTGTCGAGCCACACATCCTCATGTGACAGACAATGGGCTGTGAACAGGGGCTTCTCTGTTTCTGAGATGTGCACTATTGCCTCTTTATCATGGGTCTTGCTGTGACTTTTCTTTCTGGGACTTTTCTGTCCTCCATCCAGAAGAGAATTAAAGGTGGGGACTCTGACCTGGAGCCAATAGACAGCTGGCTCATTACCCAAGGAATGGTGAGAGGTCACCAGCTGAGCAGAGCCCTTGTCCCCCGCCCCCGGCGCTTAACATGTGTTACCTGCTAAGCCCTTGTGAGTCAGACAGAACAAGGCCATTCTCTTCTTCTGGCTGGGTGTCAAATTTTCTCCTATCTCTGCATAATCTCCTTAAGGCACAGGCTTCCAGCCCCAGAAAACACCTGCTCTGGTCTGCTACAGGCTGTGCCCTGGGGCTGTGCCCTGGGGCCTTGGGGCCTCAACGTGTGCAGGAGTTAGGGTGGCTCACAGTGCTCACTGTTCCAGGGTGAGCGAGGGTGCTGTGGCTTTCACTTCTTGGAGAAGAGACTCAAAACACCTGACCAGCTGGTGAAGCCCTTGCAGCCTGTGAACTTGGCAGTCCTAGGCTGATGGGCTCTACTCTACTGCAGGATAGCAGTGACCTATGTCCACTGTGTCCCCCAAAGGGATAGAGACTACTTAAAGAAATACATGATAGGAACAGAATAAAAAGACAAAGCCACAGAATTTAATATCATAAACACACTACTCAGGAAGTAAAGTTTTTGGGGACTTAGGCCTGGGAGGGCCTTTCCTGCCTCATCTGGTCATGTGGCCCTGAGCTGGTACCTAGAGAGAGGGTGACCTTGCTCCAGGCTTTGGGCTTCGGAGTGATTGTGGTCCCTCAGCGAAGCTACAGCCCTCCCCATCACCCTAACATAGAGATCAAAGATCTATATGAGTGTGGTTGCCACAGCGGTGGGGGCGGGGTAGGAGGGCCCGCTGCAGAGGAGGAAAGGAGAAAAGCAGTGAGATCAGAGAACTCTGCGTACAGTTGGAGTTGTGGAGACACTGGTCCCTTCCCAGGGAAGAAGCACCACTGACCCCTCCGGGACTGTGGCAGGCTGTGGCCAGGAGAGGGTGTTCAGGCAGGGCCAGCATGCAAGGCAGTGGGCCCTGCTGAGCTGTCAGAACCATGGGGCTTGGAGCTGGTGACATTTGCACAGCCGTGTGCAGGTGGGGCCTGTCCCCCTCTACATGCCGGAGCATCAGGACGCCCCGCCTTGCTCTGTTCTGCACCAGACCCCACGGCCACTCTTAGAGACAGGGCTGTCTGAGCTCCTTGTTGGCTGCTTCAGGGATGGACTGGTGCTTTGGCCCACATGTGTGGGTGGCTACAGAGCAGGAGGACTCTTGGAGACCGTGTCCGCTCCTTTGTCCAAATTGGTAGAATCCAGCCATGAGTCCTCGTGCCTGTTAATCCTGAAAAAAAAATTTACCTGAGTGTGGCCTTGGCAGCTGGGGGTGGTGCCTGCCCTGCCCACACAGGCCACCCCCCGACTACCCTGTCTCCTCCTAGAGCTGCAGTTCCTGACTCCCTAGAAACAAGTCCCACTAACAGCTAACCCAGCTTCCCGCCTGGCTGCAGTGTTTTTTGTTTAAATGATGTACATTAATTTGCTTTGCCTTATTTCCCATAGTGTAGAACCCTGAGTCTTCCCAAACCGCGCAGGTACAGATTCTTTATTTGGAAACTTTTTGTACTGATGAGAGAAACCAAAGGGCTTACAGACCTTGCCTCATGGCGGGGCGGCAGTGGGAGCCCCGTGGGAGGGTTTCTCACTTTCTGGGAGGAGCACACCTGGCTGCTGTTGCATTGGAAACCAGGTTTCCTTGGGGCTCAGGGCTATGGGAGAAAGACCCTCGCTCTCCTGGGACTTCCAGCACCAAAGTTAACAGCAGGCTCCTCATCAGTTGAAGAAAGCCCTGAGAACCGTCCTGACCAGCCCCCCCAGAGACTGCTGATGCGTGTGCTCTCCTGCACCTCTCCCTGCCCTCCAGCTTTCTGGCCTCTTTCTGGTTGTTATTGGAGAGGAGTGCCACCCCCCCACCCATGGGCTATGTCCACCCGGGAAACTGTCTGGAAGGGAATGCCTGTAAGTTGCAGTAAGAACAGAAGTAGGTTAGTAAAAAGACGCTGCTGCCAAAGCCTAGGTTTAGGGTAGGTGTGGGGGCTCCCTACTCAGACCTGGAGGACCCCAGACACCACCAGCGTGAAGTCAAAAGGAGCACTGGCTGCAACCAAGCCAGTGGTAGCACTGCTTCCCTTTGGGCGGGTGGCCCTCCTGCTCTCTAAGCAGAGCTGCTCTGCCTGCAGGCAAGTGAGGACCAGCCAACAGCAGAGAGCTCGCCCACAGCTATGGTCCCTGTCTGCCGCTGGCACCTACATGCCAGTCTCTCTTTGGTCTCGGCTGATGGGCCTGGCACCCCTCACTGGTGCCTCCACGGAGCCAGCCCTGCCCGCCTGTCTTCACAGGGAGTTAGCTTGAGTCCCTGGCCTTTGTGGAGGGTGGCTTCTTTTATTTTTCTTTCTTCATATCTCTTTTCCCCTTTCTGTCTCCCTCCTCTAATTAACTCTTCTTCAAACCCCGTGGACCAGCCTTCAGCTCAGATATTGACCCAAGAAGATGCTAAAACCACAGCAGGACAGAGCCCATAGTCTCTTAGGGATAAGCTGGGCTGGTCCTCGTTTGATGGCTGAGAACATGGAGGCCTCACAGGCCCAGTGACATGCCCGATGCCATGGGGCAGTGGCCAAGGTTAGTGCCTTCTCCTCTAGTGAAGGCGTCCCCTTCCACCTGCGGGGCCCTGGAGCATCCTCTCCCTCCCTCACAGTTCCTCTAGGCCCTGTGGGTGGAGCAGTGTACCCGTCCCGTTCAGTCTGTCTGAGAGCTCCAGCACTGTGAGGAGGGACTGCGCCCTGGTGCAGTCCTTATGGTCTTGGTGTAGAGGGGCGAGGGGCAGGAGGGTCCCATAGCTGAGGCGTTGTGTCCAGCCAGCACGGTCAGCCCCTGCCTTCTTTTCTGCATACTTTGCTGTTAGCCCACCCCTGGGTGCAGGGTTTGTGCCCTGAGGCCAAGCACCTTTAAAACTGGAAGGAGTCAATTCCAGTGATTTCTGACATCCTCGGATCCCTGGGTTTCTTTCTTTCTTTTTTTTTTTTTTTTTAAGTTTTTTTCTACAACTGATGGTCTATTAAAAAGGTTGATTTAAGCATCCGTAATTGTACTTCAGCCTCAACTCCTGGCTCACTGTGGATGGAAGGAGTCCACTTAACAGCCTAGAAGGGCCATGCAAGTCAGCGACTCACTCGTGGACCCTCATCCGAAACCCATTCCATCTCAGAATGCTCCCCACAGGGAGTTTTGTCTGCAGCAATTCTCACCATCTTGGTAGGCATCAGACCGGTTCTCCCACTTTGAGATCCTTTTTCTTCGAGCCTCTGATCGAGTCAGCACCCACCTTCTCCAGAGACCTGGCACTGCGGCCGGGTAGAGCAATTCTGACTCGGTGAATTGCCACCTCTGGTCCCACGGGGTCTTTCCAGTCTTTAAAAGCCATGGCTGGGGCACTGCTTCCTGACCACATGTTCCTCCATGAAAGCCAATAGCTGAGTCTAGAGCAGGAGTGGGCAGGACAGAGCTCCACCCCTGGGTTTCTGAATTTAAAAACAGACACGCCTCCCTGGAAATGAAGGGACTTGGAACCATGAATGGCTAATGCTGCATACCACCTAGCTATTGTCCTGTTTCACAGATGAGGAAACTGAGGCCAAGAATTGCCCAAGCCCCTACCCCTTTTCTGCCTCTCTACACAAGGCTCAAGGCTTGGAGGCTTCTTGGGAAAGCCAAGCCTCTGGAGCTCCTGGGTGGAAAAGAATTCCAGAGGGAAGGGACTTGGCAGGCCCCATCCCAGTGAGCTCAGGACCCAGCAGGCCCAGCCCGCTCTGGGCCCTGCCTGCAGAATGCCTTTCCATAAGCACACAGCGGAGTGTGGGGAGGTCTAGGGGAGGGGAGAAAAGTGTCCCTGAGATCCAGCCTTAGTTGGGTGAGGTGTCTCCAGTGTTAGTGTTTATTTTCTGAGCATGTGGCTTCTCAAGATTAATCCTCAAAGGAGAAAATCTGAAGCATGATCCCTGGGCACAAGGGACTTATTTTTGAACAGTAACAACAAAAAAAAGAAAACAGAAGCAAAATCTGAAGGTTTAAGGCCCATGACCCCTTAATGTCTCTTTTCAAGCTTCCGCAGCACCCTGGGCAGCCCTGTCCGTGGCCCCCTCATTCTCCCAGGCAGACCACAGCTAGGAGATAAAAAGCCCCGCCAGCCCCCCAGCAGCTGCTGTTGGCTATTTTCTCTTTGGAGATGCGGCAGACTTTCTGAATGTCAGCTCTGGGAGCCTGGCATGGCACGCGTCCCTTCAGAGGCCTGATGTTTTGACCTAGAAGCATCCAGTGTAAGAACTGGCATGTCCTATCCGGGACATGTGAAGGCAGAGTCCGGCCCCAAGCGTGAAGCGTGCCAGTCAGCTGCTCCCCGCAGGCCCTGCTGCTTCCTTTCAGTGGGGAAGGCGGGGCTGTGGTCAGCACTCTCGGTCGCTGCACTGGGCACAAGTGCTCTCCAGTATAAGAGTCACGTGGTCTTTGTCCCTAGGAGTCATTTCAGGGTGGTTGGAACTCCTTGATGTTTTTTCATTCCAACATTCTTAAGTCCTTAGTAGGTCAAAGACATGAAAGGAAAGCAGGGAGCCTTGAGCGGCTAGGAAGGTGTGTGTGGACTGCCCGTGCCAGCCTCGGCTGGGCCTGAGCACAGAAGGCTGCTGCCGTTCTCCAGGGGGACGGGTCTTCAGCCTCAACGAGTGAGTGTGTGAGGCACCGGCCACATCTCAGGCACCTGTTCAGTGTGCGTGGGGGGACTGCCCTTGTCCCCTGCCCGCCCAGACCCATCAGTGGCAGGCGTCTGTCTCGAGGAGTAGCCTGTCACAGCAGGGCAGGGCTGGTGGTAGGAAGTCTTTGTTCTCCTTCGTTGAGGTCATGTTACTTTTTAGATCCGGCAAACTCAGAGATAGCCCTCTTACTGCTTATTTCATTCTTAGCCCAGATTGTGACATCGGGGCAAAGTCAGCTCTAGACTCGGTGCTGGCAATTTTTCTAGAAATTGTGAGCTTGTAAGTGAGCCACTTGGAGATACTTCTCGAACCCAGGCTAGTTGGGAAGGCAGATCACTTCAAGTAAGGTCAGTCAGCTCATTTGTCTAGGCTAGGGACCACCATGTCATTAACGTGTGACTTCCACAGGGTTAAAGGTTACCCTTACTTCTCATCACATTATATCTTGCAACAACTGAAATATTCTAGCCAAATGTATTTTTAGAATACAGCCCCTAAGGCCCTGGGCTGGTGTCCCTGAGTGGACTGTGCTCAGGCACCAATGAGGTGCATCTCTGTTTGCTGGGGTCTGCCCTGACCACCGCTCCCCAGGCCGAGGTTGAACTTAGTTTTGACTGCCAAAGCCCCAGAGAAGGGGCAAGGCTAAGGAAGCCATTGCACTCAGACTTCCTTAGTCTCCTGAAGAGGCACAAAGATGGCCAAAGTCCCGAGGTTCCTCCCTTTGTCCTTGAAGCCTCTGTTCTTGTTTCTGTCGATGGTGAAATGTGCTGCCTTGTGTGGGCCACACCCAGACCCCGGTGCCTCTCTCCTACTCAGAGGGCACCAGGACACATTCTGAAATACTCTGCGTGAGCACACAGAGCCTGAGTGGGCTCCCAGGGCTGGCTGCAAAGCCACCTGACCACCCGAAACCCGGCTCTGGGCAGACTGCGCTTGGCCCCTCCCCAGGAGCCTCGGGGTGGCTCCTGAGTCACCCCGACTCCAGGGACTTGGTCAACAGCAACCAGATAGCACTCCTGCAACTGCCATCGCCAGTGAGTTTGAAATCAGCCTGCAGGAGTGGCGCACTGCCGAGATTAAACAGCGCTTTGCAGCCTGGTGTGCAGACTGACGCCACAGTCAAAAAGTTCTCCATTTCAAGAGCGTGTGCTGCCCCTCCCTCCCTGCCACTGGCTAGTCCTGCTTCCCTGAACCAGCCTCCTTACCGCTTCCTCCCGTCATTTCATGTGGCTGCCTCGTGTTGCCCGCGCCTGCTGTGCCAGTATAGTTTTTGTTCTTATTTTTGTTTTTGCTCTGTGTATGTTTTGGTTTCATTTGGGGGTTGCTTTTGATGATTTACTTTGTTTGGTGTTCTGTCTTCCCTCGCCTGGCTGTGCGGCTGCCTGGCCCACTGCTTGCCGCCTCCATAGATCCCCGTTGCGCAGCCCTCTGTCATGGACGACATTGAGGTGTGGCTCAGGACGGACCTGGTGAGACTCGACTTTTCTCTTTCAAGTGGTGGGGTGTAGCAAGGACTGGCCTGGGGACAACCTGAGGGGGCTGCTTCCCCAGGGGTTGGTGGAGGAGGGAGGCAAGGGCAGGTGTGGCTCCTGCAGTCCCCGGAGCCCTGGAGCGTCGCAGCTGGCCTTCCCCCCACCCCTGTGGCCAGCGGAAGCCCTGTGAGCCCAGCCCCTTAGCCTGCTGATGGTGAGGCGGAGCTGGGGTGCAGCTGATTCCAGCTAGCTCCACAACACACGCTTACGTTTCCCCAGTCACTTTTCAATTTCAGTTGTGTGTGTGTGCTTGGGTTCTTTTGTTTTTTGTTTTCTTTCTGTTTTGTTTTTTGTTAGAGGGTCTGTTTTTGAGGGGGAGTTTGGTTTTTGCTTTTCATTTCTTTCAACTGTGACATACACACAGGAAGAATGGGGTGTTAAATCCACTGTTGTCTCCCTCCCCTGGTATCTTCTGTCTTGAATTTAAGAGAACCCCTGCCCCGGAGACCGTTGTCTTTGTGCCCAGAGATGGGCAGGGGTTGAGGGCGTGTGCGTCTGCCCGTGCGGCCGGCCCTGAGGAAGGCCGGTGTCGGGGCTGGCCCGTCCTCCCCTCCTTGCAGAGAGCACTTTTACTCTCAGCCACCTGCGCTGCGGGTGAGTGGGCACTGTGGGCTGACGACTGGTGAAGAAATGCTCTCTGGAAGGGAAAGGGGGCTTGCCGAAGGTCATGGGCTGGGACTGGCTGGATTCTTCCCCAGACCTGCAGATACCTCGTCTCTTGTTCCTAGCTGCCTCCTCAGAGTCTGGAAGTCCTTGAATCACAGGGCCGAGCTGCCTAGCTGGCTGTGAGCTGCCTGTGGCCCCCACACACACAAAGGGAGCAGACCTGAGATAGGGCTTCCCACTGCTTGGGGCCACTTCCCTGGAGGGCCAGGTTTCCCAGCAACACTGTTGGCCACCCACGTGCCATGCCATGGGAGGAAGAAAGTGCCCTATTATGCCTTTACCAAGGGAGTGCCAGGAAAAGAGAGAGCTCCTCTCACAGCAGCAAAGCAGGAGGGGCCAAGGCCCTCATTCCCCAAGGGGTAGGTGCCCCAAGGTCCAGAAAGCAGGAGAGACCTGTCTGGGAGGGCTGCGGAGCAGGCCAGCTGCAGAACCTGGTCTCCTGCTCAACCCAGGGCCCCAACTGCATCCTGTCTGGCTCTCTTCTCGTCGCTGGCAGTGCAGTGGGTTCTCAGTGGCCACTGTGTTCTCCCGCCAAAACCAAGTCTGACCCCCTCTTGTTATTAAGAGGAGACAAAGCCTCCAGGGCTCCTCAGGAATGGTGGCAGACAATAGAATCTGGGCCACAGGACAAAGCTGGTGCAACTCCTACGCGGCCACGGGACATGGCTCCCAGCCAGACTGCTCCTCGGCCAGGTGCTGCCTGGTGTCAGGCCCTGTGCTGTGGCTTCATGGCTCTGGCCCTTCCAGGCTTTCTGTGTTCCCCAGCTATTGGCATGGACGGTGACTTCCGGAAGCCTGGGGCTGGCCGTGAAGCAGTGCTGAGTGGCGGAGCTCCTGGGGGGCTGTGAGTGTGCCTCGTGGCCTCTCTGGGAGAGATGGGTAGGCACAGGCCTCCCATGGTCCTGCCCCCCAGCTCAGCCCCAACTGCCAACTTGCACCTTTTTCTGGATGTTTTTTGGGGGGCCTTTCTGGAGGATCAAAACCTAGAACCTTCTTAAGTGGTTTTTGCTTTTGCTTTCTAAAAAACAGAGCTTGTGTTTCTCAAATAAGATAAGCAGTTCCTGACTATTACAGAACTCGGGATGGGGAGCCAGGCTGTGGGGGGAGGGGCGGGCTGGTGGGGTCCTGATGGGCTCTCTCTGCTCCTCCCACAGAAAGGCGATGACCTGGAAGAGGGCGTCACCAGTGAAGGTACGGCAGCTGGCCATGGCTTCCCAGCACCCCACCTGCTGGCTGCTCTCTCCCCGGCTCTGGGGTGCACAGGGGCTGGCACTCCCGCAGCTGGGTGCTGTCTGGTACCTGGCCTAAGCTGGGCCTCTGGGCAGGAGCTTTTTGACTGTCCCCTCCTAGCCTCATGCGGGTGAGGGAAGTGTCATAGAGCTAGCGAACAGCAGGTGCATACTGCCATCCTGTGTCTGCATGACCCCAAAACCTGTGCTCCTAACCAGTTTGCCCCACCCCCAAATGCTCAATCCGGCTGAGGCCAGACCTGTGCTGTGCAGTCCACAGGGCACATGGGGACCTCCCCTGGCCTGGCGTCCTGTGGCCTCCCTCCAGGGGACCAGCTGTATGGGCTGTGTGGGGAGGTCCCCATCAGTGTCTCTGCACTCCCCTCCCTCTCTCACCTCGTTCCCTTTCCATTGTGCCCTGTACCTCCCCTTGGCCCACCAGCCTTCACTCTGCATGGGCTCCTCACTCAGCCTGAACACCTGGTCAGGCCCCCTGCAGGCACAGGACCCTGCTTTCCAGCTGTGGGGGGAGGGGGCTTCCCTGCCAAGGTTAAGTAGGGCCACCCCTCCAGCTCTCCCTGCCCTGCTTCCAGTGCTGACTAGCAGAGTGGAAAAGCTCCCCAGTTGCAGGGGACAGGAATGTAACTGTCCTTGTCCCCCACGTCCACTCACAGCTGGGAGTTAGTTCCCTGCTCGTGTGGAGGCAGAGTCCGAGATCCAGGCCAGGCCCCAGGCAGCAGCATGCCCAGAGGCACTCCGGCTCTGGCTGCTTGGTTCCCTGTCACTCCCTGGCAGGTGGCCCAGAACAGTGAGCCAGGGCAGGCACTCATGCTGGGGTGACCCTGTGGGCACAAGTGAGTGGCACTCTGTGGGGAGCAGGTAGGACGAGGTTGTTTGAGCCTCAATATGGGCCTGGCCCTCCACCAATCCTGGCTCCTGCCTTGGTTTTGTATTGCAGAGTTTGATAAATTCCTTGAAGAAAGAGCCAAAGCTGCTGAAATGGTTCCCAACCTTCCCTCACCCCCTGTGGAGGCCCCAGCCCCGGCCTCCAACGCCCCCGGCCGAAAGAAGTCCGAGCGATCAGAGGACGCCCTCTTCGCCCTGTGAGCTGGTCTTCGGTTTGGCTCGGCGGATGGCAGGTCCCTCTTATCTCTAGCCACTGGCCCCTCCTCCTGTCCCCAGCCCCCACAAGGCCCTATGGCCCTGCACTGCTGTCTCCATGGAAATGCCGCTGTATTTGCTTCCAGGCCTCCCACTGGTCAGGACAGCTTTAGCCACCTTTTCTCTAGGTGGTAGGTGGTGGGACAGTATCGCTGTGGCTGGAGGGGCCCCTCCCACCCACAGGCCCCCTCTGCTCATGGTCCCTTCCAGGAGAATCAGACAGTAGGGCCCAGCCTCAGGCAAGGTCACCTGCCCACAGAGAATGGGGTCAGACCCTGGCCTCTTTCTCCATATGCCCCTGCCCCTTCCCTGGCTCAGTAGGTCTCAGTCTGGCCTGCTCTCCCCGCCCCTCTGTTTCAGAAAGGGCTTGTCTGCACCTGCAGGCTCCATCTCCCTTCTGGGCACGTGTCACCTGGTGGCATGTGGCATGCTTTGCACTTTAGAAGGCTCTGTGGGGTGCCTCTGCATGACGGCTCTCCTCTTGAACCTCTCTTTGGGACTTAGCAGCTGAGCCTGGGACCAGTGGCCCCTCTGGCCCCGCACATTGCTGGCATCGGGGGAGGGCAGGCCTGCCGATTAGCAAACACTACCGAAAACCAAACTGCCCACACTACATGCTCCCTCCTTCCACTGCCGTCTGTGGAGGGCTGCCCAGGAGGCCTTGCTCTGTGGGTTTGTGAGCATGCTGTGCGGGGGGGCTTCAGCCTGGTCCATGGCAGCCTCCGAGCCACTGCCTGTGGGGCCCAGCCGCAGACAACTTTGTGCCATGCTTGGATCCAAAGCAAAAGTAAGGTCTCTGTTCTCCTTGGCATGGGCCTGGGCCTTCTCCACAGGCTGTTCTGGCATCCTGATCTCCTCCCACCCTAGGTGCCCCAAGGCCACAGATTTATATTCTCTCTCCAAGCCAACCGAGACGGCTGACAGCCTGGGTTTGCCAGGGCCCGTGACACCTGCTTCCATCCTGAGCCCTGGCTGCCATGTCTCTGGCTGTGGGCGAGGTGCTCCGGGCTCAGCCCAAGCCAGCTTCCGCCTGACCCCTGCCTGTGCTGCTGCTGCCACCCCAAAACAAACAGGCTGTACAGTGGCTCTGCACCATCCCGTGGTCTCTGGGACCCAGGCTGGTGCTTCGGCCTGCACTGCCCAAGTGTCAGGGGCAGGCCGGGCCAGGCTGCACGTGCTCCCACTCCACCACGAGGTCAGCCTTTCCCGCCTAGTGGCCATGCGGGAGGAGGAGCTAGGCCGATGCAGGTGAGTGCCGCGGGCTCTGGAGAGGAGGTCAGCCAGCCGAGGGCCGAGGCCGCCATGCTGAACCCCCATGGGCGCAATTCTGGTGGCAGCAAGGTGCTGCGCACCCCAGAGCCCCAGGCCCAGCCTAGCACCATGGCAGCTTCCTCCGGAAAGGAGGCTTTGGGATCCAGCTGGGGTCCACCTGGCAGGACCAGCTAGAGACGTCACGCTGCAGGTCCTCAGAGGACACCCAGGGAGCAGCCAGGAGCTCTGCCAGCCCTCCACTCTCCCTCGCCCTGGCCCTGGCCAGCCCATACCTCTCCTCACATTCCCTGAGGGCAGAGGCCCTGAGGCCAGCCTGGGCATTAACATGTCTGAAGTCCGAAGGCTTGACCTGAGCTTCAGAGAAGGTGGCTGGGGTGGCAGTCATACCCAGCAACCCCAGGGAGCATCCCCAGCCTTTTCTTGCTGATGGTCAGGGCTCGCCTTTTCTAGTGTGCCAGCCCGTTGCTGTGGGCAGCCGGGCATCAGGTGGGCAGTCCTGCAGGAGCTGCAGCCCCATGGCAGCCATCCAGTGTGCTGCAACAGAAGAGCCAGCCTCCACCTCTTGTGGGAGAGAAAGTCTTCACAGACCAGAGTCTGAGGGGAGAGCAGGCTCCTGGCACCAATTGCAGCCGAAGCCTGCTTCTGCCTTGGGAGACCCCAGCACAGCTGCTTCTAATGCATACCGGCTATCCAGAGCTGCCCCCAGCTCTGCTGGGTAGCAGGGCTTGGTGGACTCCTGTGGGCTGGTAAGAAGGCATTGCTCCATACACAGTAGTGTCACCTGCCTTCCCAGCCTGGAGCCACCCCTCCTGCTTACACGTCACCTCCAGAGGCAGTCTGCCCCTGCACTGAAGCAGGTGATGCATGCTTGAGGCCTGCACAGGAAGCACGGATAGGCCCAGGTGCCAGCGAGGGAGAGGGTGCCACTCAGCCCTTCCTGTCCTGAGGCCATAGGCTCCCTGGACTAAGTCCCCTCCATATTCCATCTGGGAGCAGAGCCCTCAGGCCACCTGCTTAGGACAAGAGCAGAGTCCCCTAGGAGAGTGGGGCCCTCCCAAGCTACCAGCCTCTCCACAAGTGTTAGAAATCACAGATAAAGTGTGCACTTAATGACACTAAATTATTTCTGTAATTCCTTATAAGCACTAATTATACCTGATTATAGGTTAAAGTATTTATTTTGTCAAAATATTTTGTTGGGGACATGTTTAACCTTTTGTGTGTTCATTGTGTGCTGAGATGTGGAACCTAACCATTTCCCCCACCAGCCTTTCTGGAGGTGGGCTGAAGGGGCGGCGTGAGGTGCAGTCTGACCCAGAGCCCTGGTGGGCCTTTGGCCAGAGTGTCCCTGCCCAGGATCCCAGGCACCCAGCAGGGACACCAGCTGTCATCGGCATGCATGGGATGAGGGGTTTGGAGCTAAGAGGGCTTGTTACTGGCCTGGGCTGGGGAGGGGGAGGGGAGTGGTCATCTTGCCTGCCCTCCTGTCATCAGCCTCACAGTTATGAGCCCGCAGTATGAGTGGCCATGCTGCCTGCTCTGGCTTATAACCCTTCCCTTGCTTACTGGGGTCCATAGCAAGAGGTCCTAGGAGGTGTGGGACCTGTGCTGTCACTCAGCCCCTCAACTGGAAGAGTGGCAGCGAGGTCTCTTGTGGCCACTGGAGAGCTGCAGACACTGGCTCCTCTGGGGTCACTGGGGTAGATGCCGCCTGCTGCCCCCATTCTCGCTCCTCCTCTTCCTGCCTCCACTTCCCTAGTTCACCTCTCCGGACAGTGCTAACTCTGTCCAGCCCAGCATGAAGTGGGGAGGTTCCAGGGAGCTGAGGGCCAGCCAGGGAAAGGTGCCCCAAAGAGCACTAGGCTGGCAGCCTGGCCTCATGCAGCCTACCGTCTGTCTCCTGTGAGGACCTGGGCTCCTCTTCCCTGTCCACCCACAGGGGAAACAGCCAGCTTCACCATCCATGGCTAAGGGTATGTGTACCTGGAAGATGCCTCCGTGGTACCCGACTCTCCCGGTGCCTTGCCTGCCCGTGGGGCCCAAGCCAGTCTTCCTCTGTAGCACTGCCCACCTACCCCGACAACTGTCAGCCCCGGGGTCACACTGCTTCTTTCCTGGAAAACCTCCAGGTTCTCCTGGTAAAAGGAGGATAGATGTTTATTTCCTAAAGTTTGCAATTCATTTATGAGGGTTCTCAGGATTGTTGGGGACTGTTGAGGAAAGGAATATGTTGAATCTGTTGTTCACTCATCCCCGAGGTCTGGTGTTTCGTCGCTGTCGTGTGTTTCTGCAGGCAGAGCCAGCTCTGGAGGGCAGGTCAGTACACCTGAGGCTCAGCACAACACCAGAGCGCCCGCCCACCCTCTGGCTCTCCTTCCAGATAGTGTCTCTCGAGTTTGGGTTCTTGCATGTAAAGTGTTCCACAATAAACAAACAAACAGCTGGTTCCTCTGTGATCTCTGGAGTGGGCTGTGATCGTCCAGGGACTGACCGGACCAACCACCCGTCTTCTTTCAGTGGGAGCTGCCACAGGTCCCTGATGGTGGGGCAGTCTGGGAAGCCCACTGCAGGCCTCCCCGCAAGGCCCAGCTGCGAGGGGCATCGGGCTGGAGGAAAGTCCCCACGGTTGGGACAGCCCAGTTTGGGAGCGCTGGTCGCAGCAGGCGTTAAAGCCAGCACAGCTGCTTGGGACCTCCAGACGGAGGCCCTCGCCCTGTGTCTAGTCCTGGTCCCAGTGTGTGCTGGGCACTCCTCCCCACCTGGGGCATCTGACACTTTGAGCAAGCAGGCCTGAGATGCCACCACAGCTGGGCTTCCTGAACTTGGCTGGGCCTTTGAATCTTCTACAGAAATTGTACTGGGTGCTCGATTTGACAGCTGCCACTCCAAGTGCCCACCCCCCGCCCCGTCAGTAACAGCTTCACTGAGATATAATTCACATGGCATATAGTTCACTAGTCTAAAGTACTTTCCAGTGCCTGCAGAATTGTGCAGTGACTTTAGAGCATTTTCATCATTCCCAAAGAAGGCTCTACTCTGGAGCAGTCACTCCCACTGCCCCCAGCCCACCCCCTCTCCCTTTCAAAAAGGCCCCTCCTGTGCCCGGAACGGCACCCTGGGCACGGCTGCCAGGCGGTGTCCTTCGGAAGCTGGCTCCGCACGCCCTGCGGGGGCAGGGGCTGTGGAAGCCACAAAGTGCCTACCCCTTTTAATCTCTTTACCTCCCTGGGTTGGAGGATGGACCTCAAGTGGGGTAGATTTGTTAAGTACGCAGGTGAACCTGGGATCGATGCAGAGGCATCTGCTCAACCTCTCATGCGCAGGTAAAGAAGTGAGGTCTGAAAAGAGCCGTACACTTGCCTAGGGTCACATGGAGGAGTGGGCATGAAGGGCACCATCTCTGTGACCAGTGGTGTGGCCGACCACCTACTCTGAACCCCTGCTCCCCAGGGGTGGGTAGCTGAGGGGGAGCTGTCCTGACTGATGGTAGGAGGCAGAGGGGGCAGAGTTAGAGTGTCACACTGGGACAGCCCAGGCCAGAAGTGGCAGCACTGAGCTTCCTTCAGCCAGACGCCTGTCTGGGTTCCAGGGAGCTGCAGAGTCCCCACCCATTTCCAACCAGTCAGTGGGAGACTCGGACCCCCTCTGAAGCATGGAGACTGGCCAGCCCCAGGCCCTGTGAATAGAATGGAAGGTGTGCATCCTGAGCCCTTGCTGTGCCCTCAGCCCTGCTGAAGTACTGGGGGTGCCCAGAGGGGCCTGGGCTGTGCCCTGTTCCATGGAGAGGGAGCTGGACCTGAGACCCACCACACACTGGTGCTTTCAGCCCGAGTCCCTGAGAGCCCACTCTGAGCTAGGAGAACAGGGGGCTCGGGCCTGGCTCAGTTCCCAGAATCAAGGGCACCCTGCAGCCAGAAGCACTGGTGCCCCTTCTGGGGCAGCAGAAGGGAGGCTGGGGAAGCAGGAGTTCACAGACCACAGGCGAGGGAGGGTGACCATGCAACTGACCCTACCCAACCGGCCAGTCTCCAGGGAGGGCCTCCAGAGCCCTGGCGAGCACTCACGGAGATGTATCTTCCCCATACAGTAGCAGCTGTCCCTTCAAAGGAGGGGTTTGTAGAGGAGGTTTGGGAAGTGCTCGAGTAAAGTTGAACAGTGTCAGCTCCTCTCTGTCCCAGATGATGATAGTATGTAACCATGACTCCTCGTTTATGTAAGGCATATTGGAACTCTTGGCTGTGGCACAAACAGGTTTGATTTCACCACCAAGAGGAATTCACTGGCACATGGAACTGAGAAGTTCAGGTGGTTCAGCATCAAGGACAGCTGGACGCAGGTGCTCAGGGGCCTGGTCAGGAACCGGTTCCTCTCTGGCTTTGCTGATCCATGTGGCTGCCTGAGGTGTCCACAGCTCCAGCCTGTCTCTCTCCCAGGAGTTTCAGCAGGAGCCCCAGAGCCACCCCCACCCCCAAACCAGACATTTTGCAGAGGCAGGAGGAACTCTGGGGAGGCACAAACAATCCGTGGTCAGTGCACACCCAGGGCATTCCGCCCCCACCCCCATACTCCCTCCAGGCCACCTGCTATGCCCCACTCGTGGAGCTCTCGGCTCTCCCCAGAGACCCCAGAGGGGCAGCGTGGGTCCTGCCTGCTGCCCCCCTGGAAGCACTGAGGAGCCTTTTCTAACCTGCCTCTTTTGTAAAGGGTCTCTTTTGAGTCCCCAGGGGGCGGGGCAGGCAGGACCAGAGGTCAACAGGCATGAGTAATCCAGAAATTTCAGCTTATTTCAGAGGACTCCCTGCCCATTCTTGCTGGGTGGCCCCCCAAGAGCCCCAGCCTGGACCTCCAAGCCCAGGCCCCCAGCCCTGGGTCCCCAGGCTCCAGGGAGCACAGTCTCCCTTTCAGCACTAGGGAGTCAACTGCATGTTTCTGGGGACAAAGTGGACTCCTCCGTCTGGGGCCATCTCCTCCCCCCCCGCCCACCACACACACACTCCCTCTGAGAGCACCCTACCCAGGGCAACAGGCTACACTGCAGGTCCCTGAGCAAGTCACAACCCTCTGTTCTTTCCTGACCTGTCAAAGTGAACCACAGGTGGTAAATCCACTGCCCACACTCAACTTGTAACAAGGGAAGTGGACTAGGTGTGAGGCCCAGGACTGCAGGAGAGCTCACAGCCCTGGCTGGCTGAAAGGGTGCCCAGTTACAGAGCCCAGTGTCACTGGTGAAGCCTACGCTGGACAGTTACCTCCAGATCAGGACCCATGTATAGCTGGATTCAGCCCCTGACGCCTGGGGTCCCCATTCACTCTCCCTGCCACCAACTCGACCCAGCCCATTCTGGGGGACCCCCTCGGTCTATATCTGGCCTCTCCGCAAATAGCCAGTTAGTTCCCCAGGGGACAGATGTCCCCTTCACTTGTCACGTCTGTGACCCTCACTCCACACTGTGGAGGCAGCTTTGGGCTTCGACCAACTGTGTGTGGAGGGTCTAGTGAGTGACTCATGATAACCCTGGAGATGACCTGGAAAGGATTGGAGCTAGGAATAACTCATCCAGTGCACAGCAGAGGCCAATACGGAATGAAAATACAGAATCATCCATGTCAACGGCCACCTGGTTCCATTGCATCCAGATGGAAAAGGGAGAGGAGGGGAACCCAGCCAGGGCTCCAGGTGTCTCTGTGCTTTGGCCCCCTGGGCCATAACCTGGATAGGTCTGGCTTAGCTACTGCAGAAGTGTAAGTGGAAGGTGGCGGGACCTCCAGGGGTGGAGAGGGGTTTCAGTGGCCTCCTAGGCTATGCCCAGGGCAGCTAGGCCCAGCTCCACCCATAGTGGGCAGGGCTCAGCACAAGTGGCCTTGGAGAGGCCATGCTGGCTCTGGACACCTGCCCCAAATGGCTTGGAACCCACAAAAGATGCTTCTCATCTCTAAGATGCTCAGAAACAACTGGGGAAGGAAGGGGGAAGATGTACCCCCTTCATCTCACAGTCGGTAAAACCAAAGTCATGCAGGGAGGGGCCCAGCTTTTTGACCACATCCCCAAGGGGTGGGGGCCTTGGAGTGGAGGGTGGGCTGCCTGGGTCAGCCCTGTCTGGGTGTCCAGGACACACCTGGTGGCAATCCCAACCAGGTGTTGGGCCTGGAAGCTCTGCTGTGAAAACAGGCCCAGCTGGCTTCAGACCCTGCCAGCCCAGCCTGTGCCACGGCCCCTCCCCACCACCCAGGTCGAAGAGGCACAAGGCATGTGACCCAGGGCCTGGCTTCCAGGAGTTTCTTGATGACGCCATGTCACCCCACTCCGGGCAGGAAGCCTACTGGCTGTGCCAGGGCCTTTGGGGCGAGGCTTGTCTGGCTCTGTCCCCAATTTCCCCTGGGTCTCCAGCGGCTGCCCTGCCCCAGACTGCTGAGTGGCAAGCCAGCCCAGTTCCCTGGGCAAGTTCGTTTCACCTCCCCCACCTCAGTTTCCTCATCTGTAAAATGGGAATGACAACAGCTCAGTCCTTCTATGGCTGTTGGGAGGACTGAATGGGTTAATGTGGAAAAGCACCCAGTGACTGTGCCAAGCGCAGGCACAGCCAGCAGCATCACTCACCCGGGCTGGGCTCCGCCCCTTCCAGGCACACCAGGACAGAGTGGTCCACTACTACAGCTTGTGCCGCCCAGTGCCCTGGCACCTGTTACTTTGGTGAGTTCAGCTCTCCCAGCCAAGAGAGGCCTGAAGAGCTTGTGTGGGAGTCTCAGAATCCTTGACCGGGAGGAGCCACGAAGAGAAGCAGGAGCTTCGAAGAGAAGCAGTTTCCCCTGATGAACAGCAGCTCCCAGCCCGACGTTCCCCCCCATCACTTTAAGGACTGCCCTGGGAATCCCAGGCTGCGGAACAAAGTTTTGTATTCTTGGTGGTAAAGATTTAACACTCCCTTGCCCATCCCCTACCTATGCCACGTGTAAAGAGGCTTCTGCCAGGCCTCAGTTTCAATGGATGTTTCTAGTCTGGGCTTTAGGTCTCCTGTTAACCTCACCTTAGCCTTTCCCCTAACTCCTGCAGTTAGGCATGCATATTGAGCCATGCTCTACATGCGTAGTAAACTCATTAAAAGGACAGTGACTGCAACATACCCTGCCTGCCTCTGCAGAGTGATTGTAGGGAGTTATTCCCATTTTAGCGGAGACTCAAAAAGGTGAAGTGTGGCTCCAGGCTACACAGCAAATTGGTGAAAAAGCAGACTTGCTTCCTGACTGTGAAGGTGTTCTTTGGGCTCACTCCTCAGCTCCCCCCTCCCCACACCCCTCCTCACTACTCTCTGGGAAGGGCTGTTAGAATTCTTCAGGGAAGTCACCAGATTGCCAAGGTCTCCTGGGGGGCCAGGCCCTGGGTGGGATTCCTAAGCAGGGCCACTTCAGTAGGGAGGTGTGGAATCCCCTGTGGCTTCTGGCCACCCATGTTCTGGGTAGTTTTCCACAGTAGCCACTTCCAGGAGGGCAACAAAGAGAGCTCCAAGTCCAGGCTGAGCCTCAGGGGCTTGGGCCTTCAAGGCCTCTTTTGGCCTAGAGTACCCGCCCCCTTCTAAAGTATACCACTAATTTTATTCTGTTGGAGGGTGTGGCCAGACAGACTAAATCTAGAATCCAAGCAAGGCGGTATTTGGGGTGGCATGACTCACCAAGGCCGGGGCAAAGAGGGACTGGGGTCTAGACCTCTGACCATGTCCTTAGCTGCCCTTCTCCAAGGGTGGGAAGCTCACTGTCTTTCCATTTTCAGATACCTGAGTGTTACTTCTGGCTTATTTATCTTTAAAAAAAAATTTATTTATTGATTTTAGAGAGAGGAAGGGAGGGGGAAAGAGAGAGAGAGAAATATTGATGTGCAAGAGAAGCATCAATCGGTTGCCTCTTCCACTCCCCCAGCCAGGGACCCAGCCCACAACCCAGGAACGTGCCATGGCTGGGAATCAAATCAACAACTTTTCAGCTCACAACTTTCCTCCCAGATCCAGCTGTGAGGATAGCTGATGGGTTTGGGGGCCACCTGGTGCAGCCCAGCCCTTGAAGGTGGGCTCACCTCAGTACCCAGGACAGGAAGACCCAAAGAGTTCTAAGGACCCAATTACCAAGGTTACACAGCTACTCAGGGAAAGCAACAGGGTTGGGCCTCAGGGATACCTGGTTCCAGACTTGGTGCAGTCTCTGGGAGCAGCCAGGATGGAGGACACAAGAAAGAGCCAGACTGTGCTTTAGACCTGAGCTGGGTTGCTATGCATCATGACAGGTGGGGCTGAGTCAGAGGAGGCAGCTTGGCTGGGGACAGGCCTGGAGAATGAACCCTGGGCTCTGTGGGTTGGAGACAGAGCTAAGTGGCAGGGGAGGGATTCCAAAGAGGTGAATTGAAATAAACCAGAACTGCCCTGGCCACGTAGCTCAGTTGGTTGGAGTGTCATCCTGATGTGCCAAGGTTTTGGGTTCAATCCCCGCTCTGGGCACATACAATAAGTGAATACATAAGTGGGTGGAACAGTAAGTCAGTGTTTCTCTTTCTCCCTCTTCTCCACTTTCCTCTTGCTCTAAAATCGATAAATAAAAGATTAGCCCTGGCTGGTGTGGCTCAGTGGATTGAGCACTCCAACCCTAGGGACAGGCATCATCAGGCTCCTGCTCCAGCAACTAAAGCTCAAAGTGGCGATGTAACTGGCCTGAGGCCACACAGCAATTGTTGCAGCTATACATTGGACGGGTCTTTCTTGCTCTTAAGAGCCAAATCTAGAAAGTGAAGTTTGTCAGGACATCTCTGTCCTCCCCCCAAGTCCAGAGACCTCTGGGACGGGCCCAGTACTGAGACTTCCATTCAGCCCCTTTGCTTGGTGCTGGAGAAACTGAGGCCCAGAGAGGAGCCATGGCCCGCCCGAGCTCCCGCAACAGCGGGCCAGAGGCAGCGGCGCAGAGACTAGGTAAAATGAATGACTGCAGGGTTCTCCGCTGGGGGTCAGTTTGCTTGGCCGACCCGGGGCCCGTCAAGCTCTCCCCAGGTGGGGCGGGGCTGTCCAGCCCGGGGCGGGGCCTACGCGCTCGGGCCCGCCCCCGTCCTGCCCTCCCTGCTGCCCTTGCAAGCCGCCCCTGAGGAACCCAGTTTCCGAGCAACTTTTCACGGGCGCCGGGCTGCCACCGAGGCCAGGGCGGGCTGCGAATGCGCGGAGCGGCGGCGGCGGCGGCAGCGGGTCAGGGCTGGCGGACGCAGAGCTCGTTGCGAAAGTCTGTGGCCCCCGGGCCCAACCGGAGGTGGCGACGACGAAATGGACGAGCCGCCCTTTACCGAGGCGGCCTTGGAGCAGGGACTAGCCGAGCCGTGCGAGCTGGACGCGGCGCTGCTGACTGACATCGAAGGTGCGTCAGGGCCGGCTGGGTTCCTCAGGAGTGGGGCGCACAGGCGGCGCCCGGTCTTTGTCTCCCCTGGCAGGGCGCGGGGCTTCCCGGCGTCTCTGTACTCCGCGCTACGGTGTTCAGCCAGCGCGGAGCCCCTCTGCGCCCACTCTGGCGTCTCGGGCGGCGCCGCGCGGACAGAGCGTCCGGAACCCCACAGCCGCTGCAGCGGGAGCTTGGAACCAGGGCGTTGCCGAGGCCCCGCCTCGGCTCCGCCCGTGACGTCAGCGCGGGGTTACAGACGGTCATTCCCTCGGTCCCGAAAGTTCAGCGTGGCGCTGGAGCTCTTGCGCTTGCTCACCGCGCGACTCGTCCTCCCGCCATGACCCGCAGGTTCAGGCTCTCCGGGTCGAAGACCGCAGCTCTTTGGCAACTGTTGAATAGTAGTCCCCATCTTAGACGCAGTGGGGTTGGGGCCGGGGGCGGGGTGGGGGTGATCGGGTCACAGACCTGGGCTACCTCCCTTTCTTGGGAGCGCAGAAGTCCCTAAGAAAACAGGCAAAAACGAGTACAGATATTTAGTTGCTCCTTGGGAGCGGAGCAGGGGTGGGGCTACTTTGGGCACGGAGATGGGTCAAGATCTCACCGAGCAGACTTTTGAGCTGAGACCTGAGAGTCAGCTCTGGGACCAATTGAGAAGGATGTTTTTCCCGTCCACCAGCACAGCAGGGCAAAGGCCCTGAGTTTGAGGACCTGGAGGAAGGCACAGTAGGTGAGGTAGGGAAGGTACGCCAACGGATCACGGGACCTTGTCGGTTAGGGAAGGACAAGTGGCCCTGCGCTGGATTACTTATATCTTTTAAAGCATTATACACTAGTTATGCCGAGAAGGGATTTGGGGACCACGGCTCAGCAGGTACCCATTAGGAAGTTGTTGGCTGCTAACGAGCACCCGCTACAAAGCCCCAGCAAATTGCCCGCGATGGTTGCTGCACAGGTTCAGCAACATTGGCTAAGTTGCACTTGGTTGATAGGGAAACTGAGGCCAAGAGCTTAGGACTCCCACCCCTGGGTGGGCATGTCCATGGAGCCTCTTCTGCCTGGGATTGGCAGAACACACACACCTCCTTCAGTCTGCCAGGTTAGCCCAGCTGGCTGCTGGCGGGGGGGCTTATCAACTTGCTTTCCCTGAGACCAGGCCCGTGCAGGGCTGGAAAGGAGAGACCCTGATCACTTCGTTCTGAATCCCAAACCCCAAGTCCTGGGGAAGTCCGAACTTGACTCACCTAACCGTTTCACAAGTACTAGGCTCGTGGGTGGAGACTGGGAGGTGCCATGACTAAGCGGCACACACCTGGGCTTTGGGGTCAGGACTTGAATCTGGACACTATGTAATTTAATGCCCTGCACAAGCCGTCTCACATGCTGTTCCTCAGTTTCCCCTCTGGATGCAAATGCTCCCATTCAAATCAGAGGAGAACCCACGTACAGGTCTGGCACAGATTTTTCTTATTTTCTCATTTATAGAAACATTCTCTTAACCCTAACCTGCAGGACCCAAAGGTCAGGATTGCACAGCAATTGGGGGTAGGGGCAATTGGAGGTCAGGCTAGGCACCAGCCCTAGCCTGAGAAAAAGGTAACAACTGGGCCTCTCGCTGGGATGAATTCAGTCCCAGAACTGTGTCTGGCTTGCCTGAGCTCAGGGAAGGGGAAAAACTGATGACCCACTTCCAGTTGCTGTCCCTGAAGTGCAGAAACTCATGGGCAGTTTCAGGACTGAAGCCCCCAGCTTCTGGCGGGGGTGGGTAGAGAAAAAGGAGACCCCCTCAGAGAGGCCTAGAGCCCTCCAGCCCAGCTCTCAAGGCTGCAGATTTGCCCCTGCTGCCTCCCGGCCCTGCCCACTAGCCACCATGCTGTCGTGATGCCATAGCACAGAGCAGCTGCCCAGAGCCACCACTGCTGGCTGCAGCGTGGGCAGGAGGACGCTCACTGGGGTGGACATGAGGTTTGCCCACTGCAGCAGGTTTCTTGTTTTTTATTCACACTTTCTGCTCTTTTCCCCAATTATGCACCTACTCTCTTTGCATTCTAGAATAATTAGAAAGCACAGGGGAGCAACAAAGAAGGCAAAATTTTCCTTAAACCCTCTACCTACAGACAAGCCCTGTTGATTAGTGGGGGATTATTTCCTATGTTGCTGGACATATTTTTTCGGAATGGCTGCACACTCTTGATCCTCCTTTTAAAAACAACTTCACTGAGGTATAGTTTACTGGTCCTAAGATTTACACATTTTAAGCCTACAATTCAATGGGTTTCAGTAAGTTTACCAAGTTGGGTGAGTATCACCCGTTGGCTGAAGAACATTTTCATCACCCTAGTAGGTTCCCTCCTGCCCATTTATAGTTGCTCTGCAGCCTGCCCCAGCCCAGGCACCCCTGGGTCTGTACTTTCACGAATAGAGTCCATCATGCCCTGCTTCCTTCCATGCCAGTAGTCAGGGCCCCTGGCTTATCCACCTGTCCCCATTGATGAACATCTAGCTTGCTTTGTGCTGCAGTGGACACCCCAAGGCCAGGGTTTGCCAGGAGGAGTCCGTGTTTGGTTCCATGGGTAGGCTGAGGCTCTGGGAGGGGAATTGCTGGTCTGAGACTGGGCTTCTTTCCAGCCTTTCCCTGCCCTGGGAGGCTAGGCACATTCGATAAGGTCTAGACAGAGGTGGCTTGAGGGTGCAAAGAGCAGGGCCCAAAGGTCTCCAGGTCCCCTGGGAGGCATAGGGGTTGAGAGGTGGGCCAGGCCTCAGGTGCTGGCTCTGGAGACAGACCAGATCTAGGAAGCAGTGGGGAGACTCGGGAATGGGGCTGGAGCAGGGCATTGCCATGCTTGGGTTACTTGTCCTAAGTCCCCTCTGGTGGCTGCGGTGGGGGATCACAGCATGAATAGGGAACTAATTGAGCACTTGCTGCATGCTGGGCACTGCACAAACCATTGAGTCCTCTCGACCACCCCGGTGGGTAGACTTATGACCCTCACCCTACAGATGAGTACCTTGAGGCACAGAGAGGTTGGGGGACTTGCCTAAGTTCACACAGCCAGATTCAGACCCCGGCTCCTGAGACTGGCGTTAAGGGCAGGGCATGGCAGTAGAGCTCAGAACAAGAGGCTGCTCCACGTGGGGCTGTGTTGGGGCCAAGGAGTGGGTCATAGAGGGGCACAGGCCACAGGCTACCTCCCTTCCCCAGCCAAGAGTGGCTTTGGAGTCGTGAGACTGAGGACTGGCACCAGAGAGCCAGCCATAAGCCTGAAGCCCCACCCTGCCGCCCGGCCCTCTGCCACATGAATGGTCTCGGGGTGGATCTGCAGAGTCCTGTGTTGTGTGGGCAAAGGCTCTACCCCGGTGACAGTGTCCAGTGGCCTCTGATGAGCTCCCCCGACTCCCTGCACCTCCTTTCTTGCTCTGTGCTCCCGGATGCTTATCAGCTGTGGACAGAGGGGACTTGAGAGCCGCCTTGTCACACAGGTTTGGGATTATTGCTAAGCTGGCGTCTTCACCTTCCCCCTGATTAATTTATCAGACCTTGCACGAGCTTCTAAGTGCAGAAGAGGCAAATGGAAACGGAGTTTCTGGTCACAGCCCCCACATCCACCGTGGGGGGCCCTGGCTGAGGAGCCCTCTGCAGGCTCCGGAGGCACAGCTTGCTCTGCTCCCAACCTGGAGACCTCCATATTCACACAGTGTCTGTGGTGCCCCAGGGGCCTGACAGGCTGGCTGCCTGCCTGGCTCTTGTCTCCCTCCACCCCTTCCTGACAGTGATCTCTGGGCTTACGGCCTTGCACGCCCTCCCAAGGTGCCTAAACCAACCACACAGAGCCTTACCTCCCAGAATCCAGACCATGTTGACCAGCTGTTTTTTGGACCCGGACCAGCTATGGTGATGAGGACACATTGGGGCGACACTGCTATCCTGCACCTCTCCCACTACACTTTGTGCCCAATTCTTTTCCCACTAATCATAGCCCCCCCCCCTTTAGAAAACACAGCCTGAGATTGCCTACTGGCCAGCCCTGGCTCAAAACTCCCCAGTCTCCAAACTCCCTTTGGCTCCCCAGTGCCCCCTAGACAGAGTTCCCCATTTCAGATGGCATTCATGGCCTGTGAGGCTTGCCAGACCTGCCCCTCCTCTGCCATTTCCTGTTCGCCTAGAGCCTGCCCTCAGGCTCTCCCCTTACCCCCCTGCTCCGAAATGGTGCCTGTCCTCCTGGCCCTGGGGCCCAGCAACCCTCAGGAGAGAGAGCCCTCCTCTCAGACATGGCGCCCTTCCTGGCCCCCTTCCTGCCCTCTTTGCTGCCTCTTGGCACTTGGCCTGCCTGACCCAGGGTCGCATGAAGCAGGAAGTGTACCCCCTCCCCGCCCCTGCCCAGTGGCAGTGCCTGGCCACTTTTCCTGGGGAGAGTGCCCTGCCCTCTCTGAACTTCAGGTGCCTCCCCTGGAAAGCAGGAGGTAGAGGCTATAAGGTTTTCTGCCCCTGAACCCCTGTGGGTTCCAGCCCTAATGCCTCTGAGGGGACAGGGTTGAGAGGAACAGAGAGAAGCATGCTGGGAGTGGGTCCAATAGACAGGCAGGCAGGTGGCTGGGAGTTACCTCCTGCTCAGTGGTTACTTCGCTGAACATAAACATCCTGAGTCAGCCCCAGCCAGGGCTCACCACTGGGCAAAGGCCTGGGAAGTGGACTTTTCCCTGACAGCAGGTGACACCCTGGGTGGGAACGGCTGTGCTGGCCAGAGAAAGTGTCTCTGCCAGCCACAGGCCCTGTGGATGTGTCCTTTGACCCTGGGAACCAACTGGGACGGCCCACATGTGAGACCCATGTCCCACATGGCCCCATATGGGGCTCCTAATAGCGGGGCATGGGGGTCTTTGAGTCTGGTTTCAGGTTTGGGAGTCCCCTGCTAGGTTTGGGGTTTGGTGGGTGGTTGTGGTGGGGCTGGGGGGTATCCATCCCACCTGGGAGAGTTAGTGGC